GCCACGCTGCCTCTATACAGTGGTGTCTACCATATTCCTATTGCCTTTTTAAAGCAAACTCTTACTTTTAGAACAGTTTTAGATTTACAGAAAAGTTGCAGATGGTATAGAGATCTCCTGTATTCTACCATAGTTTCGTTTTTCTTTCTTTCTTTTTTCCTCTTTTTTTCTCTTTTTCTTTTTCTTTCTTTCTTTCTTTCTTTCTCTTTCTTTCTTTCCTTCTTTCGAGAGAGAGAAAGCATGCGTGCACAATTGGGGGTAGGGGAGAGGGAGAGAGAATCTTAAGCAGGCTCCACACCCAGCGTGCAGCCCATTGCGGGGCTCGATCTCACCACCCCTGAGATCATGACCAGGCACCCCTCTAACATACTTTCTACCATATTATTAAAATCTTAAATTATCAGCATAGTAATTTGTTACAATAAGGCAACACTACTACATTATTATAAACCTAAGTCCATACTTTATTCAAATTCCCTTTGTTTTCATCCGATGTGTTTTTTTCTCATACAATTCCATCCAGGGCACCACATTATATTTAGTGATTAGGTCTCCTTAGGCTCCTCTTCGGCTCTAATAGTTTCTCAGAGTTTCTTTGTTTTTTGAAGACCTTGACAATTTTGAGGAGTACTGGTCAGGTATCTTGTAGAATGCCCTCAATAAATATTTTTGAGATATTTTTCTTATGATTAGATTGGGGTTTGGATTTTAGGGAAAAAAAACCCCACAGAAGTAAAGTGCCATTCTTATCACATCATATCAAGGGTATTCATCATATGAACATGACTTATCATGGGTTGATGTTAATCTTGATCACCTGGCTGAGGTGGTGATTGACAAGTTTCTCCACTGTTAAGTTATTCCTGCCCCTCTTTCCACAGCGTATTCTTTAGAAGGAAGTCACTACATGCAGCCCACACTTAGGGAGTAGGGAGCTATGCTCCACCTCTTTAAGGGCAGAGTATATACATAAATGATTTGGAATTCTTTTGTGTGAGAGATTTGTCTCTTCTCCCCCACTTATTCAATCATTTGTTTCTAGCAGTATGGACTCAAATTTATTTTAAACTGTGGATTATAACCCAGTATTACTTTATTTATTGCTCAAACTCTTCCTGTTTTGGCCATGAAGAGCTCCTTCTATAGTTTCTTTCTATAGTTAGTTCCTGTATACTTTTGACATACTCCCATCATTGTGTTTTTGTTTTTGAGCACTTCCTTACTTTCTGGTACTACAAGATATTGCAGGCTCATGTTGCATATTCCTTGATCCAGTCCTAGAATCAGCTATTTCTCTAAAGAGTGTTTGTTCCTTTTATTGGGGAATAGACTGGGTACTGGGTGCGCTCCTTGCTACTAGACTATTTATAGGCACTCTCAACTGATAAAAGAAGGAGATATATGTGGGTATGCTAAACCTTGTATAAACACATGTCTTTATAATGTTTCTATATGTATCCATCTCTATCTATAGCAAGCTAGAGTTCATACTTTATCAACTAGAGTACAGTACTTGTGTACAGTTTTAGTCTTATTTTCAAAGTTACTTAGGTCAACACATTTTCCTTGGCCCCTTTCAGTGAGGTTACTGCATAGATTTGTAATATAGTTAGATTTTTTTTTTTATCAGTCTGCCTTCCATCCTGAACCCGATTTCCCCTTATTTATTTTTAAAATTTTGCCTATGTCAAGATTTACTTTGTGCTGCAGAGTTCTATGGATTTTAACAAATGCAGTGTCATATATCCACCATTCCAAAACCATGAAATAGTTTGACCACCCTAAAAAAAATACTCTGTGCTACCAAATCAACCCTCTTCCTTCCCTAAACTCCCTGTTTCAGTTACATTTCCCTAACAGAGAATGTACTCAACATCCTTGCTTCTCATCCTTTCCCCTGACAATATGTTCACATTTATAAACTCATGTAATTCTCACTTCAATCCCGAGTATTTCCTCTTAGCGGATGGTTGAATGAAACTCAGAGAGAATAAGTAGCCTGGTTAAGATCTCACTAAGTGGTGGGGCTGGCACTATAACTTGTGCCTTTTGACTCTTGGTATGATGCTTTTTCTACTACACAACACTGCTTCCTTGTTTCCAGCTGGAAGGGGGATGGTTATGCAGACAGAGAAGAAGAGAAGACAGAAATGGTGGTACTGATCATATCTTACATTAATGGAAGCTTTTACACTAAAAATATTGATGTGGAATTCTAGTTCTGGTACTTGGTGAACCGATATCCCAAAAACCTTTCTGTTATAAAATACTCCCAAAGGCAGAATAAATACATTTTAAAAAAATCTTTTTTTTTAAGATTTTATTTATTTGTCAGAGAGAGAGAGAGCACAAGCAGGGGGAGCGGAAGGCAAAGGGAGAAGCAGACTCCCTGCTGAGCAAGGAGCCCCACGGGGCTTGATCCCAGGACCCTGGGATCATGACCAGAGCTGAAGGCAGACGCTTAACCGACTGAGCCACCCAGGTGTCCCTAAAAAAAATATATCTTGTTAAAATACATCACTAAGCCAAACAGAAAGAAAAATCCTTGGAGACCAAAAGCTAGCAAAGGTCCAGAAAGTTGAGTGAGAACTGAAGTGACCAGCTGCCCAAATCCCACAATGTATAAAAAATGTATCACAAAAACTTATCGAAAGAAACTCAACCTCGTTTTAACATTAGAAAATATATTTAGGCAATTCACCATATTATCAGATTAAAGGAAAAAAATTATATTATTATCTCAGCAGATACGGAGAAAGTAGTTGATTAAATTCAACACCCATTCATGATTAACAATCAAATATACAGGACTTTTAGGACATATGGAATGGAAGAGAATTTCATTAATCTGATAAAGGGTAGTTACCAAAAACTTACAATGTTATCCTAATGGCGAAATATTAGAAGTATTCTGTTTATAAACATGAATAAAACAAGAATGTCCATTATCACTGGTTTTATTCAGCAATGCATTAGAGGTTCTGGCCAGCACAGTAAGAAAAGTGTAATAAATGGTAATATTTGAGAAGGAAGCAATAAAACTGTCACAGTTTCCTGAGGACATGATTATCTACATAGAAAAATCCCCCAAACCTTATGAATGACTTTTTTTTTTTTTAATACAAATGACAATTATTACTACTAAAGATAAAGTCTGGCAAGGTTGCTAAATAAAAGACCAATATACAAAAAGAAAATTTGCATTTTTATGTACTAGCAAAAATATAGTTAGAAAATCTAATTTAAAAATTTACCATTTATAACACTGACCAAAAATATAATGTATTTAGGAAGTTTGAAATATGCAAATCCTTTAAGAAAAAAATTAAAGAACTTCATTGAAAGACACTACAGATCTAAATAAATGGAGAAACATATGGTCTTCACAAGTAGGATAATTTGATATGGTAAAGATATTAGTTCTCTTCAAGTTGATATACAGATTGAATGCTATACCAATCAAAATTCCAATAAGGTTTTTTTGTGGAACTGAAGCTGATTTAAAAAGGTATATGAAAATGCAAATGGCAAAAAAAAAGATACTCCTGAGAAAAAGGAATAAGGTAGAAGAGTGGCCCTACCAGCTCTCAAGCCTTACTACAAAAGTGGTCCGGTATTAGCCTAGGAATAGAAATAGAACAATAGAACAGAAAACAGGGCCTAGAAACAGACCCAACTATGAATGTAAACTTGATATACAATAGAGTTAGCACTGTGGATCTGTGAATAAATGAGGGCCCTTCAAAAAATGGTTTTGGGACAAGTGGTTATTCATGTAGAAAAAAAATTAGGGGTAATAAATGGGTGTTTGTTTAAGCTGCTAAGTTTGTGGTAATTTGTTACACAGCAATAGAAAAGAAATACACTCTTTAACATGTATACCAGGAGACAGGTTTAAGGATGTCCATAGCAATACCTTTCTAGGAATAAAAAACTTGAAAGAAACAAAAGCCCAGCCAATAGAAAATGGATAAATTATAGTAAAGTCATACAATGAAATACTATATAGCAGTAAAAATAAATGAAATGAACTATAGGTACTTTGTCAAGTATTAATGAAACACTGAAGAAAAAATAGGCAAGTTGTAGAAGAGTACATATATGTAGAATGATTCAATTTATATGATGTTCAATAACACTCAAAACTTAACAATATTTTATTTTAAAGAGGAAAGAGGGATCTGGGAACCAGGAGAGGCGCAGAGGAGATGTCAAAGTTGTAGGTAATGTTCCGGGTCTTTTTTATAAATTGATGATAAATATATGGGTATTCATTTTATAATTATTATTTATATATTACGCTATATTATCTATACATGTTTTTAAATAATAATTTAAAAATAAGAATGGTTTACAAACTTTACTATCAACCTCTAAACCTAAATCTTTCTGGATTTTATATATGCATGAATGTACTTCACATTCAAACAAATATGAAAATATACAAAGAAAAGGAAACATAAGAATCAAACATATGGTCAAAAGCCTGAACAATTTAAAAATAAATTTCCAAATGTGATTCTTTCCTCTAAACTACACCAATTACCTGCTAAATGGTCTATTTCACTCTTGTTCTTAAAGGGAATGTCCTATCACTAATGATTTTTCCATCAAATTACCATGGTCCCACATGCTCTGACTCCTGACCCTCTGGGATCTGATTTTATTTCCCTCTTTCCACATGTCCTAACCACAGAACAGATCCTAACATTCCTTAGCATTAATGTCTAAAAAGCTGATGTGTACATTTAATAAAATGTAGGTACTGCTTCATAGACATCGAATCATAAGTAGTTCCCTGTTTTCCATTTGTTCTGGGGAATTTAGGAATGCTTATTTGTGGTTCTGCTTAACATCATTTCACTTGAATCTTTTCTTCACTGTTAATATCCACTACATTAGAAGTCTTATCAACTCTACTTCCAAAATACATCTTGAATCTGTTCACTTCATTCCATTTCTCCTGCTACCATTCCAGTCCAAACACTATGATTTCTTACCTGGACCAACTTAACAGCCACCTGTCTCCTTGCTTCCATTCTTGTCTCCCCACAGTACATTCTCCACACTATAGATATAAAGATTTTATTACAACACAAATTAGATCATGTCACTCTCCTCCTTCAAATCCTCCTTTGGCTTCCTATTACAACAGAATAAAATCCAAAATTCCTTCTAGCCTACCTCTCCAGGTTCATCTCTCTCATGCACACTAAAGAGCCACACTGGCCTGACAGTTTTAGAAAAAAACCAAGGTTGTTATTGCCTTGCAGACCCTGCATTCAAGCATCTTTCTGCCTGGACTACTCTAACCTCAGTTCTTTGCAGACTGACCCATCCTCATCATTCAGGGCTCAGCTCAAAAGTCCAACCTCCAAAAAAAAAAAAAGTCCAATCTGCAAGAGGCTTTCTCTGACCACTCTCGCTAAAGCAGGGCTTCCAAGCACACTCTATCAAGCACATCACCCTGTTTTCTTTTCTTTACAGCCCTTATCACTACCTGAAATCTTATTCTTAAAATCTATTTATTTATTGTCTATCTCCCTCCACATGTAGGGACCTTGTCTATCCCATTCCTTGTCTATCCCATTCACTGTTACACCCTATGCCAAAATAGTTCCCGGCAGTACATGAAAATAATTACATGCTGAATGAATGACTTCCTGTGGTTTTCGTTCAAATTTGTCTCTGAACAAATGTTCAAGTTTAATAACCTGAATGCTTTATTCCGTTATACTATGCTTCTTTAAACAAAGTATATGAACAAAAAGCATTTTATTAACTTCTGAATTCACATCTCTTCTTGTCTTTAAAATATCATGGTAGGGGCACCTGGCTGGCTCAGACAGTAGAGCACATGATCTTGATCTTGGGATCATGAGTTAGAGCCCCAAGGTGAAAGTAGAGATTACTTAAAAAAAAAAATTAAAAAAACGTATTTTTAAAAATATCATGGTAAAAATGGTTAAGTATTCTGTAAACACATAGGCACAGACTGAAAAAAAAAAAAACACCAAAAAAACAATGTTTGTTTTTTGTCCCAAATCGAAAAGTTATTTTCAAATTCTAAGCTAGGGATATCTATGCATGCCATTTTACCTTCAACAAATGGAAAAAATATCTACTTTTAAAGGTAGAACTGTTGGGGATTTAAGTTTTTAAAAAGTTATTTCTTCTTGGGGCACCTGGGTGGCTCAGTTGGTTAAGCAACTGCCTTCGGCTCAGGTCATGATCCTGGGGTCCTGGGATCAAGCCCTGCATCAGGCTCCCTGCTGGGCCAGAAGCCTGCTTCTCCCTCTCCCACGCCCCCTCCTTGTGTTCCCCCTCATGCTGTCTCTCTGTCAATTAAATAAATAAATAAAAATCTTTTTTTTTTTTAAAAAAAGGTTATTTCTTCTTATGAACATTGTGGTTTCCTACTGATTTAAAGAATAAAGGGAGAATAAATCTGCATGTACATTAAAGGTTTTAGTTGCCAATTATAGATTCTATATATTGTCCTTAGAATAGTCCATTTATTCAACATACATATGCATCCTTAGGATACTGCCTAAAATGTGGTCAATGCATATGTATGTTGAATGAATGAATGGACTACTCTAAAAACAGTATGGTGGGGGGCACCTGGCTGCCTCAGTGGGTAGAACATGCAACTCTTGATCTTGGGGTTGTGAGTTCAAGCCCCACTTTGGGAATAGAGCCTACTCAAAAAAAAAGAATAAAAACAAAATGTTGGAAACACAGACAAACAATTCTAATATAGTGCTGCAACCAATGTATGCAGAGTAACGTGTTAGAAGAGGCAAGACTAAAATTAAAGTGATGGGGTCAGGAAAAGTATGAGTGGAGCTGCGATACCTGGGATGAGTCATGAAATAAACAGATAAGAGAAGGAAAGAAAGGGAGCTCCAAAGAAAATTTGAGATGCAAAGATACATTGGCTTGAGTAAGTGAGCAACATGTCAGAACCTCAATAGCAAATGTTAAGGAGGGACAAAGAAATATGGCTGACAGTGTGGGTAAGTATGCAGATAACAGTGCCCTGTACACTACATTAAGGGATTCAGATTCTGTCTTACAAGGAACCTACACAGACCCCGAGGGATTTGTAGATGTAGCCCCAAGGCTATGTTTCTCTTAGAGAAATCTTTTATTTTCAACTTGATAAAAATCAAAACCAAAAACATTTTTTAAAAGGATACTTTGGATCATCTGAATGGCCACCTTTTTATTGATTACTGTCGTAAGATTTCAGTTCACATGTTTGTGTTTAGCAGTGCACTGGCAAACAACTGGTACCATTTGTCATTGGCACAGGTTAATGAGAAAGAAATGGGAACTACTTTATGTAAATGATGGTGTTTGACAAGTGAAGGTCAAATGAAATCACGACACACTGAACAAAGGAAAGCTTTGCAGTGGTTTAAATAAAGAAAAGAGATGAAGGCATTGAGTAATCTCAACACAAGTACAAAACGGACAGGCCTTTTGTAAGGAAATTATGCTATGGAGGACGGTGAACATTTGCTTTTGGAGTGTATTAGGTCCAGCAAAAAGAGTCTCATTCGTAAAGAATAAGTATTCATTTGAATTTATTTGTTTTATTTGTGCTTCATTTAACTTATAACTGGGAGTTATAGTTGTATAAGATATACAACATAAGGAGTTTATATATAGTTTTATATTTGCATATATTTAACATACTGAAAATATTTTAAGTTAACAACAGAGAATCCTGGGTATCTACTCAGGCTTGAGAAATTCTGTTCTGGGCGATTGGGAGCCACTGAAAGATTTTAATAAGGAAATGACAGATTTGTGCTTTGGAAAAATCACTCTAGCAGCCGTATGGAGGGTTGAATTGAAAGTACTTAAGCAAGGCAGGAAGGAGGCTACTTAATATAATAATGTGATAAAATGGTGAGGCCCTAAATTACTTAGGTGATACAAAAAGGAGATGGATAGGAGTTAGAATCTAAAGGACTTGGTTGTGGGTGAGAAAAGGATGGTATCCAGGATGACTTCTGGGTGAGTTGGTGGTAAGATAAACACCACAGGAAGACAAACAAGTGAGGGTGAAGAGGAATGAGAAAAGAGAGATGATGAATTTAAGTCAGCAATGATTTGAATTTCATTTCATCCAAAGAAAATCCAGTTCTCTTTTCTGGGTCCCAGTTTTCTCAGTGACAGCTGCATTCATGAATTACCAAATTAACTATTATAGCGCGCTCTAAAAATACACATAGCACTCCACAGTATGCTGTAAATAAGTCATGAAAAATCAGCAAAAGCCCAGGCCCTGAAGGAAATTCAGCAGGGTGAAAAAGAGATGTGACAAATTTTTACTAAACACTTCAATTGTGACCCAACGCACTCACCCAGTATTGCACTCTGCTGTCAGTCAGAGGCGATCACTCCCTTGCCCACATAGGAACAAGAGGTAGCACGCCCGAGCTCACGTGGCAGATACAAAGACACCACTCTCAAGGGACGTGCAAAGCGAGGGGGCACACCTACTGCACGATTACTGAAAACGTAGTGTAGTGGGAACTTTGATCCTACAGGCAGGGGTAGTTGACAAAGTTACCTTTTACTTAGAGGAATCAACGTGGAATACCTTAGTCTGATAAGGAATGTAAACATTTCCTATTTTATTACCAAAAAAAGGAAAAAAAAAAAGGCGAGAGGAAGGAAAACGCAGCAATTATCGCAAAAACAGCCTGTGTCCCCGCAGGCCACAGAAGGGCGAGCTCTGGAGGAGTAATTCAACCCTAGTTTGGTGGGGATGCCAGCATCTTCCACCACTTATCTTCCACCACCACAATAGCATAATGTTTATAGACCCAAAATGTTTAACCGTCAACCTCATCCACAATGTCCAACGTGCGACTTAAGGGGAAGCCGCGGGGCGTACCTTTAGCACGAATGCTGCTTTGGGGAGGGGGGGGAGTCGCACTCCACACAGCGCCCTCTCGGCACCCGGTCAGCGCCTCCCAGAACGAAAGTCGGGAGCTGATGGGCGTGAGCGTACCGGGGCTGCACGGTTCGCACAGTAAACCAACGCCAAGAGCCGGCAGCAGAGCGCCCGGGTGCTCTGCCCCGCGCCGCGGGCAGAGCAGGAAAAGGCCGCCCGCTGCACAGCGCAGTCTCCGCCGGGCCGGAGGAGGCGAGGTCGGGCGGGGCCACGGCTGGTTGGAGGCGGGGCCGGCTCAAGACTCTCTTCCCGCCGCCTGATGGGAACTGTAGTTCTGGGAACTAGCCAGGCTCCCTCAAAGGGCTCTGGGAACTACACTTCCCGTTGAGGGAACGGCTCCAGCAGGCCGCGCGTTACGGGGGCGTCACACTACCCGCACCAGCGCTGCAGAGTGTTTGAGGGGCAGGTCGAAGGGGTGTCTTTTCCTTCACTCTGCGCTCAGGCGGTGCCGATTCCGCCTTATCTCGCCCCACGGCCGTGCGCTCATTGCCCGGCTCCCGGTGTCAGCTTTTCGAGTCCTTCAGGGAGTTGGGGCCTGGAGGTTCGGAGGTAACGGCTGCTGCCTTGCGCGGGAGCGAGGGGCGCTCCCCTCTTCAGCCCAGCCAACCCCGCACCCGGCCCTTGCCTCCATGGGCCCAACTCGGAAACCCAACGTGTGCCGCCAGCTGAGTCGCCGGGCGCTGGGCTTCTTCTCGCGGGACGCAGGCGTGGTGCAGAGGACGAACCTGGGCATCCTGAGGGCGCTGGTGTGCCAGGTGATCGTCGGCGGCTGGGAATGGGGCCAAGGGCAGCGGGGCGACTGGCGGCCAAGCCTCCTGCCGGGGTGCAGTTTTTAAGTGTTAGAGCCTCCTTTTAAGAAGATCACATGTGATGAGCAGGGAATCCAGGCCCTGAACCTGGGGAATTAGTAAATAGCTATTAATAGAACCGCCAGATGCTTTTAGTTTTAAGCTTCTTATGTCTTCCTGCAAACGATCTTCCTAAAATTTGGTTACCCGGCTTAACACGTGAGCGCAGAGTGAGGAAGATAGGAACATAATGTTTTAAATAACGTACGTGAAATTACTTTGAAAACTGACTGTAGATTTAACTATCCCACTTAAAATTGGTGCACGGTAGAGACTTATGAATTATTCCCTAAACCAAAATTCCTTGTGTCTTTCAGGAAAGTACTAAATTTAAGAATGTGTGGACAACTCATTCCAAGTCACCTATAGCCTATGAGAGAGGAAGAATATATTTTGACAATTATCGGTGCTGTGTCAGCAGGTATCTTTTTGATGAACATTTTTGCTGTAATTCACCTCATTGTTAATCTTAACTAATTTTTATAGAACCACATGCTATATCAGTGCTTAATGAAATAGGAGAATGGAAAAATGAGCCCAAAATAAGTATAGGTAATAAAATGGGTTGTAATTTTAAAATCTTGTTAAATCCAAAGTTAGAGATTTCATCTTTGCAAATACCAATTTACTTTATAGTGCGGGCAAAATGATGGGTTGCTCAGGGTATGGAAGAGTGTCTTATTACGCTTAGAGGATATCAGAGTCAAGGGAGCCAGGTATCTAATAATTAGATGCTGCTTTACAGAATAATTTCTTTTTTTTAAAGATGTTTATTTATTTATTTGAGAGAGAGACACAGAGATAGCTAGAGAGACCACGAGCGGGGAGGAGAGGGAGAAGCAGTCTCCCCGCTGAGCGGAGAACTGCCATGCAATGCCCGATGGCTCAATCCCAGGACCCTGGGATCATGACCTGAGCCACCCAGGCGCCCCTAGAGAATTTCTGTTTTGTTTTGGAAGTACTTGCATTTTTTTTGTTTGTTTTAAAAGAAAAATTTCAAACTTGCTTCAAAGAGAGTAGTATAGTGAACCTCCATATATTCATTACTAGATTCAAAAGTGATTCAGATTTTGCTGCATTTGCTTATCTATCCCATTGTCCCCCTTTCCTTGACCTTTTTATAGACTTAAGTATTTTAAAGCATATTAGAAACACCATGCCATACTTAAGTTTGCTTCTCTAAAAAATAGACTTTTTTTCTTTCTCTTAATACCTTTATTAAGATATAATTCACATACTATACATTTCACCCATTTAAAGTATACAGTTTAATGGTTTTTAGTTTATTGAAATTCATATTCAATGATAGGAATTTTGGTGAACCATTGTGGTTCATATAGGCAGCCATCACTACAGTTAACATTTGCATCACCTCAAAAAGAAATCCTATTCCATTTTAGCTATAGTCCCATCAATCTTCAACAGACTTTCTGTCTCTGTAGATGCACCTGTTCTGGACATTTCATATAAATTGAATCACATAGTGTGTGGTCTTTTGTGATTGACTTTTTAGTAGAATTACCAGTTTATTATAAAGGGATATAATTCAAGAACAGCCAGATAGAAGGGATATGTAGGTATGTGGGAAGGGGCATGGAATATCCATGCTCTGAGCATACTACTGTTCCTAAATCTCTACGTGTTCACCAACCTAGAAGCTTCTCTCCTTTGGTAATATATACATTTAGTGCTATTCTTTTCCCTCAAGCACTGCTTTGCAGCATCCCACAAATGTTTATATATTTTATTCATCTTCATTTTGTTAAAAATATTTTAAAATTTCTCTTGAGACTTCTTTGACCCATGTGTTAATTAGAATTGTGTTGTTTAATCTCCAAATCTTTTGGGATTTTCCAGCTTTCTGTTATTGACTTCTAATTTATTTCCACTGTGGTCTGAAAGCATACTTTGTATTACTTCTGCTCTTTTAATTTTGTAAAGGTGTGTTTTATGGCCCAGATTATGGTCTCTCTTGGTGAATTTCATGTGAGCTTGAGAAGAATGTGTCTTCCGCTGTTTTTTATCGGATGAAGTATTGTATAGATGTCAGTCAGATCCAGTTGATTGATAGTACCGTTCAGTTCACCTATATCCTTACTGACTTTCTGCTTGCTGGATCCACCAGTTACTGACAGATGTGTTGAAGTCTCCAACTATAATAGTAGATTTGTTTCTCCTTGTGCTCTGTCAGTTTTTATCTCACATGTTGTTAGATGCACACACATTAAGGATTTTTTATGTCTTCTTGGAGAAATGACCCCTTTATCATATGTAATGCCGCTGTTTATCCCTGATAATTTTTATTGTGGAAGTCAACTTTGTCTAAAATTAATATAGCTACTCCAGCTTTCCTTTGATTAGTATCTGTGTGGTATATCTTTCTCCATTCCTTTACTGTAATCTGTGTGTTTATATTTGAAATGGGTTTCTTATAGATATCATGTATTTGAGTCTTGTTTTTTTATCCACTCTGACAGTCTCTGCCTTTTAATAGGTATATTTAGATCATTCACATTTAAAGTGATTATTGATATAGTTGGTTTAATACACTCCCATATTTATAACTATTTTCTCTTCATTGCCTTTTGTTCTTTTTTGGTCTTTCATTCTTTTTTATGTCTTCTCTGCTTTTAATTGTTTTATATGATTCCATTTTCTCTCTATTTTAGCATATCAATTATACTTCTTTTTAAAAATTTTTAATGGTTGCCTCAGACCTTGTAACACATTTACAACTAATCTAAATCACTCTCAAGTAGCACTATACCTCTACATGGGTAGTGTAGTTACCTTATAATAGAGTATTTCTAATTGCTCCCCCCTGCCTTTTATAATGTTGATGCCATTCTTTTTATCCATAAGCTATATTCACTGAATACATTGTTGCTGTTATTATTATGAACAGATTTTTATCTGTTAAATCAATTAAGAATAAGAAAAATAGGGCGCATGGGTGGCTCAGTCATTAAGCTTCTGCCTTCGGCTCAGGTCATGATCTCAGGGTCCTGGGGTCGAGCCCCACATCAGGCTCCCTGCTCGGCGGGAGGCCTGCTTCTCCCTCTCCCACTCCCCCTGCTTGTGTTCCTTCTCTCGCTGTGTCTCTCTGTCAAATAAATAAAAATCTTAAAAAAAATAAGAAAAATAAAGGATTTTATTTTATCTTTATTTATTCCTTTTATTTATTTATTTGAGAGAGAGAAAGAGCACATGTGGGCACACATGAGCAGGGGGAAGGGCAGAAGGCAAGGGAGAGAATCTCAAGCAGACTCCCTGCTGAGTGTGGAGCTGGATTCTGGGCATGATCCTGAGATCATGACCTGAGCCACTTAACCAACTGAGTCACACATGTGCCCCTATTTATTCCTTTTCTAACATTCTTCCTTTTTTAAGGTAGATCTGAGTTTCTGACCTATATAATTTTTCTTCTTTTTGAAGAACTTTTTTGAACATTTCTTGAAAGGCAGATCCACTGGCAACACATTCCCTCGATTTTTGTTTGAGAAAACCTGATTTCTTTTTGACTTTTGAAGGATAACTTCTTGGGATACAAAATTCTAGATTGGTTGGGTGTGATATAATGATTTATAAGAAATATATATTTGGATGTGATGTGATGAGCACTAGGTGTTATATGCAACTAATGAATCATTGAACATTATATCAAAAACTAATGATGTACTATATGTTGTCTAATTGAATTTAAATTAAAAAAAATCTATATTGGGTCATTCAGGTGACAAAAATATTTTTCTCAGATATATTTGCTCTTCATCTACAGTTCCTGAAAATGCTTTAGACCCATAAAGGTGAAGTACGTGCCTTGTTATTAATGAAGGTAACTTTCAGACCCCACCCAAGTGTAAGGGCTTGTTGCCTAGAGAACCAAACATGTGATTAGAGGGTTGGAACTTTCATTCCCAACCCTGGACTTCCAGGCAACAGAGGGGAGCTGGTGGTTGAATCAGCCGCTGGCCAATGACTTTGTACAACTATACAGTGAAGCCTCCATAAAACCTCAAGAGGACTGGATTTGAAGAGCTCTGGATTGGTGAACACTTGGAGATGTGGGGAGAGTGACTTGCCTGGAGAGGGCATGGATATACCTTTTCCGGTGTACCTCTTCATCTAGGTGTTGATTTGTATTCTTTATCATATCCTTTAAAAACTGGTAAACATAAGTAAATGTTTCCCGGAGTTCTGTGAGCCACTATATTAAAGTAAAAGAAACTAAGGAGAAGGTCATTGGAACCCCAGTCTGTAGCCCATGGATCAGAAACACAGGTAACAGCCTGGGGGCTTGATGACTGGCATCTGAAGTGGGGGGTGGAGGGCAGTCTGGTTGGACTGAAAACCTGTGGAATCTGATGCTATCTCCTAGTAGATAGTGTAAGAATTGAGTTGAGTTGTCCAACACTCTACTGGTGTCTGAGAATTGCTTGGTGTTGTGTGTGGGAGATCTCCTCCCCCCATATTGGAATTGGGTCTCGGAGTCTTAAAGACTGTGGGTGGGGGTTGTTTCATCACTTTAAATATTTTACTTCACTCTATTTTCTTGCATGTTTTTTGAAGAGAAGTCCAATGTAACTTGGAACTTATCCTGTTCTTCTTTAGATAACGTGCTTTTTCCCCTCTGGCTTCTTTCAAGATGTTCTCTTTATTTTTGATTTTCTATAGTTAGAATAGTATGTACCTGGGTATAGGTTTTTTGGTGTTTATCCTCCTTGGTGTTTTGTAAGCTTTTTGGATTTGTGGTTTGGTGTCAGTGATTAATTCTGAAAAATTCTCAGCCATTATTATTTCAAGTATTTCTTCTGTTCTCTTTTTCTTATCCTTTTAGTAGTCCCGTTATGTGTATATTACACCTGTTCTCATTGTCCCTCAGTTCTAGAATACTGTGTTCTGCTTTTATCATTTTTTGTTGTTGTTGTTCTAGTTTAGGAAGTTTCTGTTGACATATCTTCAAGTTTACCAGTCTTTCCTTGGCTGTGTCCAGTCTACTTATGAGCCCATCAAAAACATTCTTCATTTGTATGGAGTTTTGATTTTTAGCATTTCCTTTTGATTTTTTTTTAAGATTTTATTTATTTATTTGACACAGAGAGAGAGAACAAGCAGGGGGAGCAGCAGGCAGAAGGAGAGGGAGAAACAGGCTCCTCGCTGAGCCAAGGAGGTTCTGATGTTTGCTTTGTCTCTTCAGTCTTTGCATTTTACATTTTAGCATGCCTTGTAATTTTTTGTTGGAAGTTGTATGTGATGTAAAAGGAATTGCGGTAAATGGGTCTTTGGAGTGAGGTTTTATGTTTATCTGGCGAGGGACTAGGTTATGTATGTTGTTGCTGAAGCAGTAGGTGTCAGGGGCCAAAATTTCCTCTAGTGTCCTTGTTTTTGTTTGCCTGGTACTGATTCCAGTGGCTTACTTCTGGTAAGCTGTGATTCTTGGTATTCACTTCTCTTACTAGTTTTGGGGACAGCAGTCTGCTCTGTGATCTTAAATCTCTGATGGAACTAAAAACAGTTGTTGATATTTTTTGTTCAGGTTTTTTTCTTGTGAGGACAGGAGTGATGATTTCTAAGTTCTTTACATGTAGGATCAGAAACCAGAAGTTAGAGAAGATAGTTTGAGATTTGTTCTGACCTGAGGAGGGATCCTGCCAACAGTCTTTTTCTGATTTCTCTCTGACAAATTAGCCAGCCTACAATTTAGCCTCTATGGCCAGTGAATCTACAAATTTCTTCCCATTTGCCTTTCACCACAAACTCCACTGTTATAGAGAGTGCTCTTAGGCTAGAACTTCTCTACACTCTGTTGCAAATGAAGTCAGGTCCTCTGGGAAGGGAATAGGGCTATCTGCTTTACAGCCGGCTTCTTCCCCCCAGGCAAAATATTCAAGCTGAGGCTTTAGAGTTGGTGGTACTGGGGTGGGGGTGGGGAATCAATGGCATGCTTCTCTCTGAGTGACTCCCTACTCTAAAAGCTGATGACCTGGAGTTAAAGCAAACATAGCCTCAGATTTTCTTGCCTCTCTTAATGTGGAACCACTGCTTTATGAGGTGGGCTAAGGGTAATCAGAGCCTCTGTATTCTTAGGCATGCCATGCCCAAGGTAGAGTTGGGGCTAGGTGGAAGAAGGGAGCCCTACTTTTTGACTACACTCACCCAGGACTCAGCCCCAACAACCAGCAGTTGGGAGCTACATGAGAAGTGCTGTCATCCTGGTCCCCCTAGAAGGTGGCCCACTGGGAGCTGGGGGTAGAGGGAGTCCTGTGCTCTTGGCTATACCAGTCTGGAGTAGTTTTCATCTTGCTGAGCTAAGAACAGATGGAAGGAGCACATCCTAGATCAGACATCATAGACTCTCACTATTCTTACTGAACTCTAGTAGATTTTTTGGAATAAATGTTTCTTTGTTTGCTGTATGCCCCTAGGACCATTTCCAGAGACTTTAAATAGTTGTCCTTTTATAGTTTTCACCAGTTTTCCTGGAGAGCATGCCCATAGAGCTCCTCATGCTGTCATGTTGGAAGTGGATATCTGGACATTTCTTTATGTGATCATAATGTCATTACCACACCTAACGAAATTAGTAATAATTCTTTGGTATCATTTAATGCCCATTTCATAACTTACCCAATTTAGAGGTATCTGCTTTAATTAAAAAAAATTTAAATCTGAGTAGGTGGCATTGGTTGGTGTTCTAATAATAAGTAGTTGGAGTTCTTTACTATGGCATTCAGGGGTGTTTTACCCATAGTTTAGAATCACCCAGAGTTTAGAAGTTTGAGCTTGCTTTCATTCCTGTGAAATTCTGTTTGGTTTAAACCTTTGAATCAGAGAACATCAAAAGTGAATAAAATTATCACTCAGAAAATTGTTTCTTTTTTTTTAAATATTTTTATTTATTTGAGAGAGAGAGCGCAAGCAGGGGGGATTGGCAGAGGGAGAGGGAGAAGCAGGCTCCCCACTGAACAGGGAGCCTGACACGGGGCTCTATCCCAGGATCCTGGTATTAAGACCAGAGCCAAAGGCAGACCCTTAACCAATTGAGCCACCCAGGTGCCCCGAAAATTGTTTCTAAATAGTAGTTTAATTTTAAAGTTAATCAGTTAAAAAAAAAAAAGGAAAACATCTATGATCATATCTCAGTAGTAATCAGGGAAGTATAAACTAAAGGTAGGGGACTATTTTTCACATAAAAAATCTTGTGTTCAGTACTGGTAGAGGTACAAACTTGTTCAACCTTTCTGAAAGGGAATTTGGGAGTAAAAACCCCGCAAAGGTATTTCCTTTTTTTACCCACTAATTTTCATCCTAAAATAAAGAGATTCTTTATCTAATTTTCATTTTATAGTATTAGAATAACAGTTTATGGGGCGCCTGGGTGGCTCAGTCGTTAAGCGTCTGCCTTCAGCTCAGGTCATGATCCCAGGATCCTGGGATCGAGCCCCGCATCATGCTCCCTGCTTGGCGGGAAGCCTGCTTCTCCTTCTCCCACTCCCCCTGCTTGTGTTCCCTCTCTCACTGTGTCTCTCTCTGTCAAGTAAATAAATGAAATCCTAAAAAAAAAAAATAAATAATGTTTATGAACCCCTTGGAATTCAGCAGAGATATTCATAGTAAATGTCCAAGGGTAAAGAAAGAATTCATTATGATCCAATTTTGGAAAATAATCTGCAAGTAAGTATATGTATATAAAGGAAAACCAGAAGGAAATGAACCAAAATGTTAATAATGGTTATTTTTGTAATCTTCTATTATTATAATCTACTTTATTTTTCAGATTTTCTATGAATTTTATTGTGAATTTTGTGATCAGAAAAAAAACGTTAACATTTAGTTAAGAAAAGGAAAGCAGTGGTGCGCCTGGGTGACTCAGTTGGTTGACCGTCTGCCTTCGGCTTGGGTCGTGATCCCAGGGTCCTGGGATCGAGCCCCGCATCAGGCTCCCCGCTCCACAGGAAACCTGCTTCTCCCTTTCCCACTCCCCCTGCTTGTGTTTCCTCTCTCGCTGTGTCTCTCTCTGTCAAATAAATAAATAAAATCTTTAAAAAAAAAAAAAAAGAACAGGAAAGCAAAATAGCAAGTTATATCTTGGTATTCCAAATCTCTGAAAGAAAAAAGTCACTCAGAGCTGAGCAAACACTGTCTCAGTTATCAAGAAGAATAATTGCTCATTTTTCTTTTTTCCCAGCATTGCATCAGAGCCAAGAAAACTTTATGAAATGCCAAAATGTTCCAAATCAGAAAAAATAGAGGATGCATTATTATGGGAATGCCCAGTGGTAAGATTTGTTTTTAGAGTATTTGTTTCTAACACATTTTTAGCCTAAAAGAACTGATTATTGTTAATATATGTAAAAAGGAATAAATCTTAAATATCATAGTGATTCTTGACTCTTGAAAGGAGTCAAGAAGAGAGTATATCCTTTGCTTATTTTTCCTTGTGAAATAATTTCTATTTTTAAAAATTGTACATTAATATTATGAATGTATTTTAAAAATTTGATGCCATTTGTAAATTTTGAAAACTGGAAAAAGTTATGAACTGGTTAAAAGTTTTATAAGCAATGTAAGGTAGTTTAGAGTTATTCTCAATGTTTAAGAGATCATTCTGATTTAAGAGATCATTCTATCAAAATAAAATATTAATTTAGGCAACAATTATGTTACATGGCTCTTTGAAAGTAAATTCTTGTTAGTTTCCTTCATGAATCTTGTTAGGAAAATAATAAGTCAAAAACAAAAAATAATAGGGGCGCCTGGGTGGCTCAGTTGTTAAACGTCTGCCTTCAGCTCAGGTCATGATCCCAGAGTCCTGGGATCGAGCCCCGCATCGGGCTCTCTGCACGGCGGAAACCCTGCTTCTCCCTCTCCCACTCCCCCTGCTTGTGTTCCCTCTCTCGCTGTGTCTCTCTCTGTCAAATAAATAAATAAAATCTTTAAAAAATAATTAATAAAAAATAAAATAATAGGCTAAACTCATTCCACAAGACAGACCAGCGTTGCCCTGTGTGTATTTTTCAGAAGACTGTTTTAATAAAATGAAAACATCTTATCCTTCCTAGAGGAGTTGGGAGCATTGAGTTGTAGACAAAATAAGTGGGATATTCTGAGCTTAAAAGGTGAAACAAATTTATTTATATAATTACTTCTTAGAGCCTTTAATAATACTATGCAATAATACTAATGTTCATGGTGATTTTGACAACCATATTCCAAAACTCTTTTGATCATAGGACTTCCTTTTTTGAGGTATATTTCTACGTACTGGTTTTCCGTGGATCAGTGTTTTAAGAACAGCACTTAGGAAATACTGCAGCAAATTAATCAGGTCTCTGAATCTGGCTGATTGTTTTTTTAGGAAAAATAGAACTTACAATATGGGACCAAAAATAATGTTTAAAGGATAAGAGGCTATGCTTTGAATTTACTATTAAAATTCTTTCTCTCTCTTTTTAAATACTGTTGTTTTTATATAAATTGCAGTTTTCCTGAGCTGCTGCTTTCTTTTTCCCTAGACACTTATTCTTTTTTTTATTTTTATTTTTATTTTTTTTAAGATTTTATTTATTTATTTGAGAGAGAGAGAATGAGAGATAGAGAGTACGAGAGGGAAGAGGGTCAGAGCGAGAAGCAGACTCCCCGCTGAGCAGGGAGCCCGATGTGGAACTCGATCCTGGGACTCCAGGATCATGACCTGAGCTGAAGGCAGTCGCCCAACCAACTGAGCCACCCAGGCACCCGACACTTATTCTCTTTAAAAAGAGACATTAAATCTATGTTTTCTTCCCTGATTTCTTATTGAGAGCTGAAAATAACTGTTGTGCCTCCAACATCTAAAGCCTTTTATTTTTTTTTTAAGATTTTATTTATTTATTTGAGAGAGTGAGAGAGAGAGAGCATGAGCCAGGGAAGGGGCAGAGAAGCAGACTCCCCGCTGAGCAGGGAGCTGGACATGGGACTTGATCTTGATCCCAGGACTCTGGGATCATGACCTGAGCCAAAGGCAGACGCTTAACTGATTGAACCACCCAGGTGCCCTCTGAAGCCTTTTTTTTTTTTTTTAATAACTATTTTCTTTTTCTTTCTTTCTTTCTTTCTTTCTTTCTTTCTTTTTCTTTCTTTCTTTCTTTCTTTCTTTTTCTTTCTTTCTTTCTTTCTTTCTTTCTTTTCTTTCTTTCTTTCTTTTCTTTTCTTTTCTTTTCCTTTCTTTTCTTTCATTTTATTTATTTGTCAGACAGAGAGAGAGCAGAAGCAGGGGGAGCAGAAGGCAGAGGGAGAGGGAGAAGCAGGCTCCCTACTGAGTAAGGAGCCTGATGGAGGGCTCCATCCTAGGATCCTGGGATCATGACCTGAGCCGAAGGCAGATGCTTAACCGACTAAGCCACCCAGGCATCCCTAAAGCCTTTTAATCCATTTTCATTTGCTGGGGGGAGGAGGAAGACAGATTTCCTAATTGAGAAAAGTTTTGAAGACACCAGTACAAAATCACCAAAAATTTAAAGCAATCCTTGCAAAAATAAAGTTTCTAGTAACCTAGTTCCTATTCTCACTTCTTTTACCATTTTCTTCTCATTTGAAGTTAAGCAAGATTTTCCATTAAGAAAAACTGAGAAGCATATATTGTTGTTAACATACTGATGTGAAACGACGCTTAAATCAGCACCCTTGTTTTTCTGAGACAGTGTGTGAAATACAACTTTTGGTTTAGGAAAATAGCTCAAACCTATTACATGCTATTTCAAATTCTTTTTTAATAGGCAAGGTATAAATAGTATATATTTTTTTAATTAAGAATCTCCTTGGGGGGCACCTGGGTGGCTCAGTCGTTAAGCGTCTGCCTTCAGCTCAGGTCATGATCCCAGGGTCCTGGGATCGAGCCCCACATCGGGCTCTCTGCTCAGCGGGGAGTCTGCTTCTCCCTCTCCCTCTGCCTGCCGCTCTGCCTACCTGTGCTCTCTCTCTCTGTCAAATAAATAAATAAAATCTTTAAAAAAAAAAAAAAGAATCTCCTTGGGGAGGGTATGTGCTATTGTGAGCACTGTGAATTGTGTAAAACTGTTGAATCACAGATCTGTACCTCTGAAACAAATAATACATTATATGTTAAAAAAAAAAAGATAGTAGGAAGGGAAAAATGAAGGGGAAGAAATCGGAGGGGGAGATGAACCATGAGAGACTATGGACTTTGAGAAACAAACTGAGGGTTCTAGAGGAGAGGGGGGTGGAGGGATGGGTTAGCCTGGTGATGGATATTAAAGAGGGCACGTACTGAATGGAGCACTGGGTGTTATACGCAAACAATGAATCATGGATCACTACATCAAAAACTAATGATGTAATGTATGGTGATTAACATAACATAATAAAATAAAATAAAAAAAAAAGAATCTCCAGGAGATGATACTTACATAAGACACCATAGAATAAAAATATTTACATCATTGCATGTGATTTTAATGTAAGACTTCTAGTAGTTAATAAGCTTACACACACACACACACACACACACACACACTCTCTCTCAAGAAACAAACACAAGAACCTTGTTTCTTTCCCTAACATTTGAAAGGGAAGACAAATCTTTAAAAGCATATATAAAATAACTATGCCTTCATTTTTTTCTATTCACTTTTCAGCCTACCTGAATACTAGATTAATTCCAACTTTCCTATCCTTAACTTTCCTCTTAGAACTTCCTTTTTAGGGGCACCTGAGTGGCTCAGTCAGTTGAGGATTTGAATCTTGGTTTCAGCTCAGTCATGATCTTGGGGTGGTGAGATCAAGTCCTGAGTGGGGCTGTGCACTCAATGAGGGGTCTGCTTAAGATTCTCTACTCTGCCCCTCCCTGCGCTGCTCTCTCTCTCAAATTTTTTTAAAAAAGAGAGAACTTCCTTTTTATTTCACAAATCAAAATAGAACTCCTTGCTTCTCTTTCTTTTCCTGCCTTTGACTTCCACCTTGTGGCAGGTGCTCAGTGGCAGGCATGCCCAAGTAGCTCTTTCCCTTTTTGGGGGATAATTCATTGGCGACAGAGAATATCTTTATTTATTTATTTATTATCGTGTTATGTTAATCACCATACACCCAGTGCCCCATGTAGTACATGCCCTCTTCACTAACCCATCCCCCCACCCCCGCCCCTCTAGAACCCTCAGTTTGTTTCTCAGAGTCCATAGTCTCTCATGGTTCATCTCCCCCTCCAATTCCCCCCCCTTCATTCTTTGAAACCTGGCCTATCTTCTGTTTTTCTTTGGCTGCCTTGTTTCTGCATTTTAGCTTTCATTTGGAGTTATAGTAGAGCCACAGTAAATCATGGAACAATTTGTCCTTTGGCCATTTTGACTTCTATCAAAAGGAAAACAGGTCTTGGAATAAAGAAACATTTATTCCTTGTGGAGGGGGAGGAGCAGAGGGAGAGGGAGAATCTTGAGTAGGCTCCATGCCCAGTATGGAGAGCCATGTGGGACTTGATTTCACCACCCGAGATCATGACCTGAGCTGAAATCAAGAGTTGGATGCTTAACTGACTGTGCCACCCAGGTTCCCCAAGAAACATCTTTTCTGGCAGGTGACTTACGCTGATGCTATTATACATGGTTTTAAGAACTGTTATTATCATTATCATCACAGCAGCATCATTAGTAACACTCCTACTGTGTTGTGATGATGATTGGCTCACATTTATTGAATTATTTAATGATAAATAATAAGAAATTATTTGAGGTACTGTTTAAGAACTTTATGTGAATAAACTCACTTAATAAGTTGATAAAAATAATTACCTACAATTTCATCTTTCCTTGTCTTAATTCTCTATTTGTACATTTAATATTTCATCTTTGGTTTACTTATCTATTTCTTTAAGGTTTTAGCTGGTTTTTTTGGACATAGATTTCTGTAGATTTGTTCATGACCAACCAGTTTCATTTTTACATCTTGTATTTTTTAGGGGGAAATACTTCCCAATCCATCAGATTATAAATCTTCACTCATAGCACTGACTGCTCATAATTGGCTGTTTCGCATATCAGCAACTACTGGAAAAGTCCTTGAGAAAATATATCTTGCTTCATATTGCAAATTCAGGTATTAACTGTGACTTTATTACTCAAAATTTTATTAAAATATATAAAATATAAATATATATACAAATTTGTGACTTGTGGCCCAGGAAATTACAAGTTTTGGGTTGTTTTTTTTTTAAGTTTCCCATTGTATATCTGGATCTCAATTTATAAACCTTTTCTTTTTTTCTCTCCTTATGACTACCCTTGAAGATCTGAGGATACAGACCTTTTATCATTTATTTTTGTATCACTCATAAGTAACTAACCTTGGCAGATATCTGTCCCCCACCCTTTTCAAATTTCCCTTCTATAAATAGTGTTTTATATGTTCTGCGAATAGTATTTTATATGTAGGTTGCATTTCATGATAGATTTTACTGAAGGCTAGTCTGTTTCAGTTAAATCACCTGCCTAGTACAGTCTAAGAACTGTTTTGTTTTGTTTTGTTTTGTTTTTAAAGTGATCTCTACACCCAGTGTGGGGGCTCAACCAAGATCAAGAGTCACATTCTGACTGAGCCATCTGGGTGTTCCTAAAAGCCGTTATTTTAACTTAGTAGTTTTATATATTTTATATAGACATATTTGGAGTAAATATATGCATGTAGAATGTGAAGGTAACATTTTTAATGCTTTTTGTAATGTTAATGTCCGTTTTAAAGTAGGAATGGTCTTTTTTCTAAGTTTTGAATATGTTTGATCAGTTTTTATTTATTGACACTCTAGAAGGATTAAAATTCAATATATATATATATTTAATAGGAATATATCCATATAAAGATGTAGAGGGAATTTTTAAGTTATTTCTTTTTTAAAATAAATTACTTTGCTTTTATAATTTAAATAAAGAACTTTATTTATGAAATATCTGTTATATTTTGATTATAAGGAAACTTACCGAAATGAATAACCTTCTCGTCATCTTTTTACAAGATACCTGAGCTGGGACACTCCTCAAGAAGTCATTGCAGTCAAGTCAGCTCAAAACAAAGGCTCAGTATTGGCCCGGCAGGTAGACATCTTTAAATATCAATAAATAAATCTTTAAACATCAATAAGATGAGGAATTTGTTTGTTTCCAGAGGAAATTGTCTGCAAATTTGTTAGGAAAGAACTAATGATCTTGGATTTCTGAAGAATGGTAGAAAAGTTAAGAAAATGATATAAACTTAATAAATACCGTTTAAGCTGCCTTGGGGAAGTACAACAGATTATTTTACATTCCACAGTGGAAAGAAATTGACAGAACCTTGTTCCTCAAAGTAAGAGAGTTATCTTTTTCAAGCAGAGAAATCATTCAAGCTTTAACTATTGATAATTTTTTCTCATTTCACATAGACATGTCAGGGTAATTCTACTTTGAGATGATGTGACTATGATAACTGTGTCTTTTGGCTCTTTATTAGAATTCCAATTTATAACATAATTTATATTATATTAACAAAATAATATATGTATAATAATGACACAATCAGATATGATATCTACCAGAAATCTATATTAATTTATATTATAATACAGAAAATAGGGGCACCTGGGTAGCTCAGTCGTTAATCGTCTGCCTTTGGCTCAGGTCATGATCCCAGGATCCTGGGATTGAGCCCCGCATCGGGCTCCCTGGTCAGAGGAGGGCCTGCTTCTCCCTCTCGCACTCCCCCTGCTTGTGTTCCCTCTCTCGCTTTCTCTCTCTCTCTGTCAAATAAATAAATAAAATCTTAAAAAAAAAATACAGAAAATATATTTTATTATGCAGTATATAAAATGTTTTTGTTGTATAGTATATAAAATATGTTTTGTTGCTAAGAAATGTTTATTGTTAATGTTTATTTATTTGTATTTTTTTTTATTATTTACTTATTTTTGATGCGGGGCTTAAACTCATGACCCTGAGATCAAGACCTGAGCTGAGATCAGGAGTCAGAAACTTAAACGACTGAGCCACCCAGGCGCCCCTATGTTTAGTTTTATAGATTTGTTTGTGTATGTGTATGTGTATTGAAGGGCTGAAGGTTTAATGGACATATTTTGAACATGTATGCTTTCCTGTGTAAGTAACTTTGCAAGGTAGGTAGATGTTTTCAATTCATGAAAACATCCACATAACTGCTAGGACAGATGGATGTTTTCAACTCACGAAAATAGTGTTTCTAAAATTCTTTTGAGAGCTGCCTGTAATTTAATCTTTCCTTTTAGGCAGGCATTCAACAGCCTGTTTTGCTGTACCTTGCAGTGTTCCATGTTTTACCTTTTTCACTTATAGGGATTCTGGAGATCAACAAGAAGGTAAGAACTTACTTATTTTATTTCAGTATTAATTTTTTGATAAGATGTGATGTCAATGTATGTTTGTTTATTAGGTGTTTTGATTGCAAATGTTCCCCTGACTGTAAAAAGCTCTCTGATCTAGTTTGTTTCATATCAAAATACATGAGAATGTTTCATTTAGGAAGGAAGCCTAATCATCCTTTCATCTTTCTGCATGTTCTTATGCCTTTCAAGTGGAAGTGTTGAATACCTTTGGTGTCATTAACAAACCACTACTTTATAAAATTATGAAATGAGTAAGGTGTTTTTTTTAGAGGGATATTCCAAAGCTTGTTAAAAGGACCATTAGGAAGATGAAAAGCTACAACAAAATGAATCATTTTAATTGCAAAGTGTAGATCTAAAATTTGTTTTATGTTACATAAATAAGACATATAATTAAATATGTGAGTTTTCCAACTCATTCAGTTATAGGTTTTATTCTTGTCATTTTTCTTGATTTATGGTCTGTTATATTGGAGGAAAGAAAAGACATATTTCCTTTGAGTAAAAGAATCAATAGCCTCCTACTTTCCATTAAAAAAATTGTTACTTAGTCTAGGTGGATAGTTATTTATTGGTCTATTCTACTGGTCTTTAATTACGCACTTCAGGTATTACTGAGGTCATATCTTCAGGGTCCACTAAGAGTCATTAGCAAATAAGATGAACATATTAAAAAAATTTTGCATAAGCATATTATACTAAGCTACATAAAGGCGAGTGAGTAGTATCAGTTACCTACTCATTGTTTTGTGCCAGGCACTTTGAGTAGTTTATAACTTTGTGACATATAGTGGGTTCAACTAGGAAGTTAAGCAGCTACCCAAATCCCAAGTAAGTGGAGAAGCTGGAATTAGAACCTGGGTTTGACTCCAAAGTGTGAACCAAATTTTAAGATGCAGTGGCTGCTATATTAGAGCACTCATTGTTTGAAAACATGTTTGAATTACACGGGTCCTCCTTTTCAAAGTGGGAAACAAGGATCAGCAAGTAAAAAATCAGGAGCTAGTCAAGGTCGAAGCAAAGCATAATTATCTTTCTAAGAGATGACAAGAAACACAATTTACTAATTTAACTGTTTTCTTTGTCCTTGTGGATGAAGTAGTTGTGTGTGCTTATTACAGTCTACAACAGAAATGAACAGTTAACTAAGTCATCAATTGTTTCTCTTTACTCTCAGATTGCTATGATAATAATTGGAGGGATGTGGTTTTGATTAGGGTTAGTTGGAGCTGAAGTGTACCCTCTACTCCCCATGTATAAGAGACCACCCAGGGCGAAGTTCAACATGTACTTTAAGCTGATCTTTGGGGTAGTAAATCTTCACTAAGTAATTTGTCTTGAGTAGAAACAGAAACAGATTTTCACTTGATTTCCACTTGTTCTTTCATTGCTATGAATATTTGTCTATGTTGGCTTTTGTTAAATATTAAAATAGGCGCAGAATCAAGTTACTTTATCAGAGTTCTGTGGGGGACCAGGACAGAACCCGGTGCACAGAACAAGCCCAGAAAGGGGGCGAAGAGCCAGAGCCTTACTCAGGGTACTCAGGGCTAGCCGGGCTCAATGTCTCTGTAGGTGCTTGCTTGGTCTTTAACACGTTTGGTTTTTATATGACTGAAAAATCAAGCAGTGTTAGATATTTCAAGAGCAAAGTAATGGTAAAATTCTGGAGTTGGCTGTTTTTCATTAGAAGTACTTTCTTACATCCAATCTTTTCACTTTTAGCTAAAAAATAAGTTTCTTTATAAATAACATTTTAGCATGAAGAATAGGTCCCTATATTTACTCTACAACACATATCCCGCATGGTAGAATTAGACGGTCTCAGTGTATGCCTATGTCCACAAGGAATAGGATGTGTTATTAAAAGATATTGACAAAACTACAAAGCAAATGGATGAAGCAAATGAATGCTGCTGAATCATTTTTTTTCTTTTTTTAATTTATTTATTTTTGATGTAGTGATCCATGATTCATTGTTTGCGTATAACACCCAGTGCTCCATGCAGAGCGTGCCCTCTTTAGTACCCATCACCGGGCTAACCCACCCCCCCACGCCCCTCCCCTCTAGAACCCTCAGTTTGTTTCATTTTGAGGGTTAAGTGCTGCACTCCCATTAGTGTTCCTCTTTGAGACTCTAGTGGCCTACGACCCTAATGACACTTTAATTTCAAGTCTCTAAATTATAATTAAGTTATATGGTAGGCAGCAGTGTTGTAGTGGTGACCTGAATGTTAAGCAAATGCACAAACCACTGTGAACACTCAGAGGATTGGCCTTCTGGTCTTTTCTCAGGTGATATCTACCTTTCCCCTCAGATTTTCGGGAACGTTACAGATGCTACCTTGTCTCATGGAATACTAATTGTGATGTACAGCTCAGGACTGGTCAGACTCTATAGCTTCCAAGCCATCACTGAACAGGTAGAGAAGACTGAAATTTGCCATATTATAATAACTCGAGGTTTGGACTGAGGTATGACTTTTTTTTTTTTAATGAAATGCTTTTAGAATAAGGCACTTGTGTAGATTTCAACTCTACAAAACTGTACAAATGCAGAAAGACAAAGTAACTTTTAAAAGAGGGGAGGGAAGATAAACAGAAACGCCTTGAGTCAATAAAGATATTTTCTCTGTCATATACATGTAATTTGACTTTTTCTCTCCTCAGACAGCGAATAAGTAGGTGCTAAAGCCACCGTTTTTGTTTTGTTTTGTTTTTAGTTCATGCAACAGAAACTTGACTTAGGGTGTGCATGCAGATGGGGTGGGACTGCTGGAACTGTAGGAGAGGCTCCTTTTGGCATTCCTTGTAATATTAAAATCACAGGTATGGCTACTATATAGCATTTTTTTCACCTTAAGAAATAAGTGGTCATATAAATAGTTATTTATTGTAATCATCCAGATGTTTTCTCATAATTTAATTATAAACTGAATTCATTTTACTTCTATATAGCATATTCCTTGCTATTGAATAGGTGTTAACAAAATCTATCAGTTATTCATTGAACTGAAGGCCTGGGGATACTGAGTCTTCTTTGGCTTTTAATTAGGGGAAGGTGAAACCCAACATCACTGATAAGAGAAGTGCAAATTAAAATTATCATAAGATATATCTTTTCGGATTCTCAAATATCAAAAAGTTATATAACAGTGTTTGTTAAAAGTATAGAAGTCTGTAACAGTATATTCATTTATTATTGGGGTCCTTTTTGGAGGACAGTTTGTCAATATGTATCAAAGCTTTAAATGTATATATTCCTTGAACAATTCCATGTTTAGGAATTTATACCAGATATGTTCACATGTGTACAAAATGACAAGTGTACAAGTACATTGTTTCTAATAGCAAGTGATTGGAAATAACATGTACATTGGTAGGTGGCACTAATATTATTTCATTGTTTGGCTGTATCATAAATTTAATTGTTAAAAAAACCTTTTTTTTGCATTGGTATAGAGCAATTGCCAATATATATTACCAAGTGATAAAAAGGAGTATAAAATTGTATATGAAAAGCTTCATTTGTATAAAGAATTCATATTCACATGTTAAAAGTATACATATAAGTATACTTTTTTATACATATACAAAAATTCATTAATTCATGCTTTTATTTATTTTTAAAGATTTTACTTATTTGACACAGAGAGAGAGAGAGAGTGCACAAGCAGGGGGCGTGGCAGACAGAGGGAGAGGGAGAAGCAGGCTCCCCGAGGAGCAGGGAGCCCAATGCGGGCCTTGATCCCAGGACCCTGGGATCATGACCTGAGCCGAAGCCAGTCGCTTAACCAGCTGAGCCACCCAGGCACCCCTAGTTCATGCTTTTAGATTTGCTTGGAATATATGGAAGGACACCCAAAAACCTGATAAATAGTAGTTACCTCTGAGGGATAAGATGAAAGGAAGATTTAGTTTTCATTATATATCTTGTAATACTTTTTGAATGTGGTGCTTACATTGTGGTTCCTTGTGTATGCATGTACACATGCAGCTCCTTGAAATTTGAAGAACTTGACTTATATACCATTTTATTGATGAACTCTAAATTTGTTGAACCAGTTCACTAGTCTGGACATGTAGGTTGTTTTTAATTTTCTATGATTACAGAAAACATAAGAATATTCCTGTAACTATTAATGATTCTTGCCTGAATCAGTTATGTCATTTGGGGTGGCAGAATGGCCATTTGAAGGATTCTGTCATTCCTTCTACCTTTAATAACTAACATATTTCCATAAATAAAGACTTTCACTTGTCGCCTAGGAATAGAACTATAATTCCTCCTAAAAAGTCAAAGTATATACTTATTCCTTCTCTTTAATTATCAATATTTGAACAAGGAGTTGGTATAATAGTCACTTCCAATGTGGCAGAATATTTCAGAGGTCAGCACACATATATAATCACAATAGACTCAAGGATTTTTTTTTTTATTCAAAGTTATGTAGTTACAGTCATTATTCTTAATGATGTTCAGATTGCCCCAAATTTGGCCAGTGAGAACTCCACTTTGACACACCCCAGTAGTCTTGGAGAATTTCCTTGTTTTCTGGAACAATAATATATTGCAGGTTTATCTTTTACTTTCCGTGTCCTAGATCTGACAAGGAGCCATTTCAGTAGAGAACATCATCATTGACTGTGTTAGTTTCCCAGGGCTGCTGTAACACCACAGACTGGTAGCTTTAAACAAGAAAAATTTAATCTCTTACAGTTTTGGAGGCTAGAAGTCTAAAATTAAGGTGTTGGCAGAGATGACTTCCCTATGAAGACTCTAGGAAAGAATCCTTCCTTGCCTCTTCTAGCTTCTGGTTGTTGCTGACAGTCCTTGGCCTTTCTTGGTTTATGGCAGTATAACTCCCATTTCTGCCTGTCTTCACATGCTCTTCTTTACTCTGTTGTCTTCAAATCTCTCTCTCTCTCCTTATAAGAACACCAGTCATAGGATTTAGGACCCACTCTTATCCAATATGATCTCTGCAAAGACCCTGTTTCCAAATGAGGTCACATTCACAGATACTAGGGGTTAGGACTTTGACTTATCTTTTTGAGGGACACAGTTCAACGCACAACACAGACCAAGATCTAGTTGTGCTCAATGCAATTGGCTGTCTTTATTTTTTGGTGAACAGAGCTGGGAAATATATTAAAACAAAAATTCATTAGTTCATTCTCATATTTCCAATTTAATTGTTTTTTGCTTTTATATTTGTATTTCTTTTGGCTCCCACTTAACTTGATGCCTAATAAAATCTTATCCTATTATATATGTGATAATCTTAAAATTGCCATATCAGTGCTACTACTAAAAACTAAAGTATAGTGTTTTGAAGGTTAAGATTTCTCTACAGTTCCTTTTGTTCTTAGTGTACAGCCCAATAAGTGTACTACAGAAGTAATGTGTTCAAAGATTATTTGAAATTATTTTTCTGTATGATTAGGTTACCAATTTTATGTATTTAGATTCATTTGTTTTAGTTTGTTTTCAATTTTAGGTTTGTTTTTTCCCTTTGACTTTATTCTTGAAGTTGTAAAATGTATATATTTCAAAGGTCAAAACTATATAAAAAGATAATTGTCTGAGAAATTTTGCTTCCATATATAGTCCTTTTATTCTGTTACTTCCTTCCCCCTACCCTACCCTGCCCCTAGAAGTAATCATTATTTTTAGTTTCAAGGTTATCCCTCTATTGTTTGTTTTTATAAAAATAAGCAAACGTGTGTATGTGTTCGTTAAATGTTACCTTCTTTCTTACACCAAATGTAGTATATCATATATTCTGTTCTGTACCTTGTATTTTCACTTAACATGTATCTAAATTTTTTAAACATTTATTTAATAGAAGAAATATCTAAGATTACCTACCTATTTTTCTTATTGAGATAAAATTGATACGTATATATAACATTAGATTAGTTTCAGGTGTACAGCATAATAATTCAATTTTTCCCAGGACAAGTTATCTCCCACTTGCGAGCGATTCCTCATAATTAGGATATTACCAAGGCTAGACATCAGACAAAGAGGGATTCTTGATGGTTTTATCCCTTAGCCATATTTTTCCCAGGAGCTTCCTCTGTAGCTGTAAAATTACAAACAGAGGCTTTAGCCAAGCATATAGTGGCCACCTTTAACCAAACCCAACATGCAGTCACCCACAAATTCAAAAGGTGGACCTCCAAAACCAAATGGTCCTTGACATCCTGACTGTAGCTCAAGAAAAAACTTATGCTAATATTGAGACTAAATATTTTGTATATATCCCTGATAACTCTAACGTATCCAAAGTTTTAGCAGACATGCACGTACGAATTAAAGCAACGTCTGACTCCTCTAATTCTCTCAGTGATTGGATTTCTTCCTGGTTTAGCGGAAATGGATAGTCCTGATGGAAACCACTTCTTTTACTAGCTATGATAATAATTATTCTAGGTCTTTTTATTGAGGGAGCTATTGTTATTACATGCTCTGCATAAATATGTCAGACAAATTATGTCAATGGAAACTGTAGGAAGCATCCCATTCTTATGATGAGGCCTCATGAGTGCCTCCAACTCAAACAATCTGCTCCTAGGGACCCTCCATGTAATGAGATAGCTCAGGATTTTTATGCCTCTCAATAGGTAGGATCTATAATCTCTTTCAGCCTGAAGAAGTTACAGAAGATGAGACCTTCACCCTTCAACACCCCTTAAGAATTAGGAGGATAAAAATCTCATACTAGGGAATGAGCGAGAAATTGAAGGGGACCCCATGAGAGAAAAAGCTGTTTTTTTCCTTTGCTTCTTTTCCAGTCTCTATTCTTGCTAGGACCTGCACCCCTGTCCCACTTTACACATGTCTTACAATGCAAATAGTGCATGTCCTCCTTGTAAGGGACAACGAGTTGATGATTCTCTAGAATAAATAACATCTAAGGAAGGACCAGGTGAGAATGACTGGACGAAGTGATACATAGTGTAAATCTACGTAAATCCACAGTAAATCTAGTTACCATTTATCACCATACGGTTGACCCCCTTCACCCATTTCACACCCCCCTCAACCCCTTCCCCTCTGATAACCACCAATCTGCTCTCTGTCTCTATGAACTCCTGTAAACAATGCTGCAGTGAACATAGGGGTGCATATCATCTTTCCAAATTAGTGTTTTCATTTTCTTTGGGTAAATACCCAGTAGTGGAATTACTAGATTATTTTTTGGAAAGATTTTATTTCTTTATTTGACAGAGAAAGAGAGAGAGTGCACAAGCAGGGGAGTGGCAGGCAGAGAGAGAAGCAGGCTTCCCGCTGAGCAAGGATCCCGACACAGAACTTGATCCCAGGACCCTGATTCATGACCAGAGCCAAAGGCAGATGCTTAACCGACAGCCACCCAGGTGTCCCCTGTTTTTAATTTTTTGAGGAACTTCCATGCTGTTTTCCATAGTGCCTGCACCAATTTACATTCCCAGCAGTGGTGCATGAGGGTTCCCTTTCCTCAACATCCTATTGTTCTTTATCTTTTTGGTAATAGACATTCTAACAGGTGTGAGGCAGTATCTCGTGGTTTTGATTTGCATTTGCCTGATATATTCCCTATATTTTAAAGTTACAGAAAAATCATTATCCTATTATAGCCCTTCTTTTATAAACCATACAACATTTTGTACAATTTGTATTAAAAATCTAAAGTATCATTGCTTGACCTTTCACGGACTCAGAGCATTATAATAATTATTATTTTCTTTTTAATGCCTCTCCACAGTCGAGCCAGTAGGAGCTCCTTTTCTTGGTTCTCTTATTCTTTTAATACTACACTGACATCCTTGTAAAATATCCTTTATAGCAATAACCAGATGGTTCAGACCTATCCTAAAATTTCCTCACTACAAGACATGGAATCTGCTACTGTCAGAATTTCTAGGACTCTTTAACTGAAAATAGTATTAGAGATCAAAATTCGGGCTCTTGAGGTTAGTGGGGACCCATCAGAATTGTGATGAACAGAGTCCTGCTGCTACTTTGGGGCCATTTTTAGCAACTGCTTAGAAAAGTGTTTCTTTTTAAATACATCTTTTTGGATTGACTTTTTTTCCCCTATTGTTCATACCTATTTTATATTCTCTACAACATACCTACTTGAAATTTTAACCCCAAATTCAAACTCTAATTATATTTTTTCTTTTTGTATTTTTTCCTCATTCATCATCATTTGATAGCTACCATATTATCACATACGATGTTTGTACTTCTTTCATAATTTACTTACTGATGTTTTTTGCCCAGTTTTCTGTTGGGTTCATATTTTTCTTATTAAAAAGACTTTTTTTTTAAGATTTTATTTATTTATTCATAAAAGACAGAGAGAGAGGCAGAGTGAGAAGTAGGCTCCCCACAGAGCAGGGAGCCCGATGTGGTACTTGATCCCAGAATCCTGGGATCATGACCTGAGCCAAAGGCAGACGCTTAACCATCTGAGCCACCCAGGCACCCTAAAAAGACTTCTTTATATATTAAGAATATTATTCTTTTCCTAGAAGTTTTTTTTTTTAAAGCACTCTAAGTATATTTAATACGTTTATACTTGTCTCTTTCTCAGGACTGTCAGTTTGTGAATTCACTTTTCATTATTTTTCTCCTTATGTATAGCACCAAGTGGTAAATTGTCCTTATGAAGAAGCCTAATAGTGTACACACTTCTATATGTAACATGTGACTCTTGAGTGAATGGTCTTCCTACCGCAAGCCCCTTTACTGACAGTGATGGCCTCATAACCAGAGAGTAAACTCTTAAGGTAGACGGGTAAAAAAAAAGAGTCGTAGATTAACCACCTGCTGAAACAGACTGTGTGCTTTGTGATGTTTCCCAAGTACTGTCCAAACGCTATTCTGGTCTTCTAAAGGGATAGTACATTCCACTTATGCATTTCTCTAAGAGTACATCTGTTTCGCTCTACTTAAAATTAGTTGTTATCGAAAAGACTAAGAGGCACCAACAGATACTTCTTTTATGGTGTCAGTCTCTAAACGACAGTGACTGACTAGATGTATCTAAACTAGTTAACTTGTCTAAAGATGATACTAGTAGTAGTGGCTACCCTTTAATAAAGCTTCCACTGTGACAGGACCCACCTATCCTAAGTGGTTACATTCATTATGACTACTATCACTTCTACACTGGAAATCTTAAGACTGCTCCGATAAAGTTTGCTAAGTATAACCTGTTGGTCTGGAATATGGAAGATCTCTTCCTCGCATCTGAAGGAATTATTAGACTTAATTACCTATTAGGATTGTCATGAGTGTTGGAAATAGTATCTAACCCAGAGTCTGAGACACACATGCCTAGTAAATAGCAGCTGCTTTTATTAGATGTACTTTGTCATTTTTTTCCCATCATAAGCACCTTCAGCCCACTTTTTATCTCCACTCAGCTGCAGGTCACACATAGCCTGAAGACAGATGTCTAGAAAGTTGACCTCATAACAGCATTTGTTTCCTACCAGCTTTCTCTTTTCTTAGCAATCAGCCTCTTTCCTGATTATATTTTATTTCCTGAACATAGTAATTTTTCATTAATGAAAATTTATAGATGGTACATGCAAAGAAGGGTTGAATTCAGTTCATGAATGTTCCAAGGCTACCAGAACAGAGAAAATAATAAATTTCTTTTGCCCATCTCTGCAGACACACCTCCACTGCTCTTTGAGGTATCCTCCCTGGAGAATGCTTTTCAGATTGGAGGCCATCCTTGGCACTACATCATCACACCTAATAAGAAGAAACAGAAAGGAGTTTTCCATATTTGTTCTCTGAAAGATAATTCCTTGGTAAATCATGAGTGATCAGACTTTTAGTAGTAAATTTGTATCAGAAATTCTTTATTTTCTACTTCTATAATAAGAATTCCTAAGAATTACTTTTTGTTTGTGTTAATAATTTGTAAACATTGTTAGGTACAGAAGACTACAAAGAATATGACAAAACACTTGTGTGTACTACCCAGAATTTAAAAGCATTAAGATTTGAAAATTTTTAGAAACCAAAGATTTCTCATGGGATTGCTGCAAAACATCTCTGAAGCTCCATAGTGGAAATTATTGATGGAGTATGTTCAGGCTTCCTCTGAAATTGCTGGTGCAATGTGTGGTTGGTCCTGTTTTTTCATGGTTTGCTGCTATTAGCTTTCCAGAGCAGAACCAGGTAGAACTCTGTTGGTCACAATGTAAGCATTGAAACACTTTGAATTCTCAAGAACATTATTAAGTTACTTATGGCGGAATAGGAAGAAATGGTACATGGTAAGACAATAGAAATTTCTACCCCTTGAATTAATTTTCTTTTGAACATGATTTAGGCATGATTTATCATTTAATTTAATTTAATTTAATTTAATTTAATTTAATTTAATTTAATTTAACTTAATTTATTGAGGGCCTAATGTGTGCCAGGCATGGCTGGGGACACATTCCCTTCCCTCAAGTTGCTTAGGCTCTTGAAAGCACACATGTAGATAAATAAGATGCAGTCTGTTAAGCACAGTGATTAAGAGAAGTGCAAAAGAGCAAATACACAGGGAGTGGTGGAGGGGTTCCCCTTTGTTTTGTATTGCCGAGTTAGTGTAGTTTATATCTGGAACCTATATATTTGATATATCAAATGATCTTACTTTTTCTGAGGCAGACTCGGCTTATTCCACACCCATCTCTTCCAGGATCGTGCTCAATCAGTCACTGTGTACGCAGTGGCTTTTAGTCACAGGCCACCTTCACCACCCCAAAGATCAACACAATCTTGGGTCCATTTATCTATTTCCTTTGATGTCACTGCCAGGGAACACTGTGTCTAGTGTCTTCTAGTTTTCTTTTGTGGGGATGTTGTCCCCTTTCATTTTTTCATTTACGTATCACATGTGACAGCTCCTATTTGGCCCAGCCCAGGGACATCTTCTTTTAGAGTGGCCTCTCTAGGGGCTATTTCCTGTCATGACAAGTCTGTGATTTGATTGTCTACCTCTCAGCCAGTGAACATTCTTCAGCCACCAGGACCTTCAGCCACCATCTCTTTCACTTAACTTTTCTATCCAGTCAAAAGCTGTACGATTCACATTCTGGATTTTTAGTACATATTCTTTTTATATAAGAACTGACAATACATATTATTGTGTGTGTGTGTGTATAAAATGGCCTCCAACATCTATATCAAGCATGCCTGTCAAGTACTCAACTTCTATAATAACTGATTATAACATCTAGTCATATCTACGTTTCCACGCATTCCTAAATGCCGAAGCCAGGGGAAGTTTTCAGTTCCTTTGCCAGACAGCTTTGCTGTAGTGACATTAACTTAAGGGTGCTTATGCCCATTACTTCCCCACCTGTCAGCTGGAAGAGTAGATAACCCAAAAACACATAACTATAGTAGATAACGCAAAAACGCAGCCAAACTGAAGAATTCAGAAAATGTTTCATAGCTTTCTATTAAACTGAGCTTTAAAATCTAGGATTCAAGCACATAACAAAAACTACAGAACTGGTAATAATGCTGCCTTATATTTAACATGAAAAGAGATAATATTTCTTTTGCATGTTAATAGTAATTATAATAAAGGGAATTGTCTAAAGAAAGATGTGTGTAAGTATGTACATGTTTTTTTTTAAGATTTTTTAATTTGTTTATTTGAGAGAGAGAGAATGAGAGAGAGAGAGCACGAGAGGGAAGAGGGTCAGAGGGAGAAGCAGACTCCCTGCTGAGCAGGGAGCCCGATGCAGGACTCGATCCTGGGACTCCAGGATCATGACCTGAGCTGAAGGCAGTTGCTCAACCAACTGAGCCACCCAGGCGCCCTGTACATGTTTTATTTTAAACAAAGACGCATCCAGAGCTAATGCCATCTTGGACACATTCATTTCAGTGGTTGCAACCAAGGTGTTTAATTAAATTGATTTCCTTATATGTACAATATAATAATACCACCATTCATATTAGAAATTATTAGAATACTTATAAAAATTCCTGAAAAATTAAAACAGTCATTAATACAGAAAATGTGTTAAATTCCATTTTTTTAAAAGCGTGGCAAACAAAGCACTTGTGACATAGCCCCCACCTATTTCCCTAGTCATTATATTTCTTTTGTAGGAGCCAAAGTTAAAATTTTTATTCATGTGTACACATATACATGCTATATGGATTAACATTTCTGTGTTTTGTGTTTTGCCATCTCTTCTTTTTCGCCATTTTGTGCTCATCCTTTAAGGCTTAGTTTAAGCTCTGTTTTTTCTTCTAATATTCTGCTCACCTGGGTTGGATGCTTGTTAATATCCTGTGCATGGCTTGATTACTTTGTTTTCTACACTTTTTGTTTCTTTTTGTTTTTGTTTTCTACACTTCTTATTTCTGTTTATGTTTCTGCCTCCCTTCTTGATTATGAGCTTTTTGATGGCAAGAGTTATGTTGAGTTCATGCGAGGTACAAACACCTAATGTGATACTTAAAATAGTGTCCTGTCAGTATATGTTAATGAAATTAATAAGTTAATAATTTTAAAAGTTTTATAAGTATCTAATAGGAAAGGTGGTATCACTTCACTTTACATTGGGGAAATTAAAGAAATTAAATGAAATCATTGTATCCATGCTAATATTAGTTCTTAGTGCTCCTATGTATAAGGTAAAACATTTATGTGCGTATGTGATCCTATATCATGGAGGTATCTTTTTCTTTTCTTTATTTTAGTGTCTAAATGAACTACCATGAAATAAATCTCTACTTGCTTAGAAGGCTAAGCAGTATTAGACCATTTCTTCATTATTAGAGGTTTATGTCTGACTTATCCAAGGAGATTTATATGACCTGTTTCTGAGATTTGGGATTGGGTTGCATGTTTATCTTTGTGCTAACCACTCCTTTTGACAGTTTATTGGGGATAGGCAAGGGAGGAAGAAGTTATAGGGAACTGTGTGTGCATGATTGTACAGAGTTACGTTATGGAACAAGTTCTTGAACCTCAGAATCAGAGCAGCTGTTTAGTACATGTAAAACATTGAGCAAATGATTCATCCTTTTTGTATATCAGTTTCCTCATCAAAGTGGGGATATAATAAATGCTTTGAATATTGTTAAATGAAATGACTCTAAAACATCTACTGTAGTATCTGATACAAATTAGATGCTTGAGATATGATAACTGTTAAGTTCATTGTAAGGTACAGGGTAAATGTTCTGGATTTCTCAAGTATGAGTGTCCTAATTCAATTCTTAGACATATCCCAGTTCAACTGTTGATATTTTCTCTGCCCTGTACCTTTGATTTACTGATCTATGACTGAGGTAGACTTGAAAACTTATTTTATTTTCCCTTGATCTCTATTTTCAATATTTTTACCCAACTTCAGGCAAAAAATGGGATCCAAGAAATGGAATGTTGTTCTCTAGAATCTGACTGGATCTATTTTCATCCTGATGCTTCTGGTAGAATAATACATGTCGGCCCAAATCAGGTCAAGTGAGTATTTTTATTAATTACTTTAAAGTGAAAAGTAGCTTTTGGAAGCATTTATTGGCATGTTTATTTTTGCCAGCTAACTATTGACTCAATTATAGAAATAATTAGCTTGTTACAGCTTGCTTCCTCAGAGACTGGCATCCAGAAAACTTTATTCTTTCAGCCTCATTATTACTCTTTGTAGATGTTACATTTAAATAAATTCTTTGATGGATGATATATGGGTAAAAGATTCGGATTGACTTGTCCTCATCATGTTTTAATTCTTCAGGATTAAGGAGAGAAATGATTTGTCTTTGTTCTAAAAGACAGCTTTAGAACAGGAGTTGTTTGAAGTAAACCTTGTTTTGCTTTGTTGACCCACATCTTCCATCCAGTTGACCTTTCCTTTCTTGAAACACTCTTCAGGGGTGCCTGGGTGGCACAGTTGTTAAGCGTCTGCCTTCGGCTCAGGTCATGATCCCAGGGTCCTGGGATCAAGCCCCGCATTGGGCTCCCTGCTCGGCGGCGAGCCTGCTTCTCCCTCTCCCACTCCCCCTGCTTGTGTTCCCTCTCTCACTGTCTTTCTCTCTGTCAAATAAATAAATAAAATCTTTAAAAAAAAAAAAAGAAACACTGTTCATTTGGCTTCCCTCACACCACAGTTCTGAATATTTTCCTCCCTCTTTGATGTGTCTTTCTTAGTATCCTTTCACGTTCTTTCTCTTCTACTCAGACTTTAATTATTGGATATCCCCAGGATTTAGACCCTATTTTCTTCTCACTCTTCATTCCCTTTCTGCATGATTCTACTTATTGATTCTTTTTATTCCCTTGGCTTCATAGATCATGTATACACCAAAACTCCAAAATTTATATCCTGGCCCAAACGTCTCATGCCAGAAATCTGGAATTATTCTGAACACTTTGTTACCTTTTTGTCTTTCTTCAGTACATATACATATACTCATGTGCATTTTCTCTCTCACACACACACCCACCCACCCACCCATATATCCCGTGAGTCAGACTATTGTCATCACTAGCCTGGACTATAGTAATAGTCTACTTACAGGACTCCCAAGAATCCGTTTTTATATTCTTTAAGTCTGTTTTCTTCTCAGCAGTGAGAGTGATTTTTAGAATCATTAACAAACACAAAATCCTAACCAAGTGGATTCTGCCTTAACCTTTTTATGGCTTCTTGTTCCTGAGATAAAGACCCTCATTCACTTAGCATGGTCTGAAAGACTCTCCTCCCATTCAGTTTATTTCAGTAATGCTGTCTCATCAGACAGCCAGGGACCTGTTTGCTCTGTTTGGAGTGTGTTTCCCTTCCCTGTTCTCTTGCCTAACTTCTATTCATATTTTGTCGCCAGCTTAAATATCTCCTTTGCACCTAGTCCTTGCCTGATACCCCTTGTTAGATTAGCTCCCCCATCATATTTTCACTGAATGCACTGTTATCCTCCTCTAACACAGCAATTTTAATTAATTATTTGTTTGATTATCTGTTTAAATATCTAGCTTTGGAGTCATCAACTCAGTAATGACAGGGAAAGAGTCTGTTTTGCTGACTATAACCCCAGCACTGAGCATAGTGCCTAGCACAGAGTAGGTGCTCAGTAAATTTCTTGAATAAGAAAGACATTGTCTGCCTTCTGTTATTTCTTATGCTTCATGCTAATTAGTTTACCTTTCTGGATTGATTATAAAGAAGATAAAGGGACTTAATTAAATAAGATTATCAATTTTTACAAGAAGTCTTAAAAACTGTAGTTCAGCTTTAGTAAACCTTGGTTTTAATGTTTGTTGCGTATCCACCTTTTCTTTCTTTCCTTCTTTTTCTTTCTTCCTTTCTTTCTTTCTCTCTCTCTCTCTCGCTCGCTCTCTTTTTAAGAGAGAGAGGAAGGGATGGGCAAAGGGTGAGTGTGAATTTTAAGCAGGGTCCACTCCCAGTGTGGAGCCCGATGCAGGGCTTGATCTCCCAACCCTGAGATCATGACTTGAGCCAAAATCAAGCGTCGGATGCTTAACTGACTGAACCACCCAGGTGCCCCATTACCCACCTTTTAATAGTAGTTTGAGCTTAAGAAAATAAGGTCCACAAAGAGTGTGTGCCCTTTTGCCAGGTTCTAGAAGATAGGCACTTTTAAATATTGGCCCTTTTTTATTTAAGATAACAAATTGAGTAATTTAAAATATAATCTGATTTCTTTGCCTCTGGCAAACTCTAAGGCTTCTGGCTCTCTCTGGCCACAGTAGCTGCTTCTCCCTGCTATTTTCTTTGCCTGCGTTTTAGACTTTAAGCTTTGAGAACATTGTGCTTTTGAAGCTTGTTAATGCTGTGAACAGATTCGTGTGGGTGGTGAGCAAATTATTTTCTTTTCTCTTGCTTAGTAAGCTTGATCCATTAGGCCATTTGCACTCAGAAAACCCAAATCTTTAAATATAATCCTACGATAAAAGTATTAAGTAAATTGAAGTTTTTAAATATTACTCTTTTATGAAAACTCTTAGTTTAGGTTTAGTTGCTAATCCAGTCTGCCTTATAGTTAATTCTGAGTGTTGTTCATTGATATCTCATTCTATCTTCAGAAGTAAAAAATGCCAGTATCTACTATAATGCCACCATTAAAGCTGAAACGTTAAAGACCTATTGCAGGATGAAAAAGATGAGGTTCTTTAGATAACTTTCATTAAGCCAATTTGGAAGATGGCTTAGGCCTGAGGAAACTGCTTCATTCCCTACTTCAGGAGTATCTGTTGTCACAGGTTTTCTGTTTAACAAAAATCTCTGAATTTGAAGTAGTTTATGGACCCTAAAGTGATCAGACATTAATATTTCAGATTCCACAGGAGGAGAGGAGAACTAACTTAGTGTTGTTCCTGTAATTTTCACTTGTTGAGTTTCATTTCAGTAGTTCAACTTTGGCACTTTGATGACGTGTTGAGGTCTTAGGTTCTTTTTTCCCTTTTCAGAGTTTTAAAGCTAAATGAAGTAGAAAATAATAGTGCCCAGCATCAGATCTCTGAAGATTTTGTCATTTTGGCCAACAGGGAGAAGAACAAAGTAAGCCAGGAGTACTTTAAAATTCTTTGTATATCACTGTCTTTCTATTTGAGAATATAATATACAAATGTGTTTGTCTTTTAGTGTGGCAGAAAAGAGCAGCACGATAAAAGTCTGGATTTTTTTGTCTACGTAGTTAGCTGGTCTTAGCCCCATGCACAGCTGAGATTTGAAAAGAGTTGATTATATTGAGCTTATCTTTTGCTAATTTCTGTTTCTTTTCTGGGTTTCTCTTTCAGTTTTTATTGATGAATTTTCGACCTTTGGGTTTAATTAATTGTGCAAACTTAGAGTAGGTTGGGGTAGATATGAATCTTTAAAAATCACATACCATGTTTTAACTCCAAATAGTTCTTTTTCTTTAGTGTACAAATTAAGAACATGAAGAAAATTATGCAGAGAGAAATTTCCAAAAGCAGATCCACTGTAGCATTGCTGTACTTATACTAAAGCAAAAATCAGAAGGGCGAGTGAAGTAGCAAATCTGTAACCTTTGTATTTATTGTTTGCCTACTTTGGTATTTTATCCATAATTTATTATAGTAAGTATTTTTACTAATTGGAGGATGAGAAATCTGATTCAGAATTTTCTCAGTAGAGGAAAGAATTGTGGATGTTGGATAAGGGTTGGTTGTTTAACAAAATTTAGTAGTTTTGCTATTTATTGCACATAAAAGGATTCATCATATCTTTTTATTTCTCTCCATATGATAGAATGAAAACTTACCCATTGTTACAGCTTCTGGACGGGTGGTGAAAAAAAATTTTAACCTTCTGGATGATGACCCAGAACAAGAGGTATTACTTTAGCCAGAGATAACAAACTAAACTAGTGTGTACTAGCCCTGTGGTTTTTCAAGTCTGCTTCCCAGACTCTGGGATACAGGTTGGGGGTGAGTAGTTCCATGCAGACTTCATTGGTGGGATTGTGCATGGTATTTCAATCAGTGCATCTCCATCATCCTCTCCTCTCATACTGGAATTATTTGTAAGATTTCATTTGCAGAAATGTTCTTAGAACTGAAATAATTTGAAAACACTGCTAGCTTATGGTTTTGTTTTATTAATGTGCACATTTCTAGGGAAATTTAATAGAAAATACTTTAATTATATCCTGATGACTTTATGGCTTTTGCTTTATTTTTTACTTACGAGACATGGATATGTTTGGTAATGATCATGGGCCAGGGAAGAAGGGTGTGAGGGTGTGATAAATTAGTTCAGCCTCTGGCCTGAACTTGACATCGCGAAGGGTGTGAGGGTGTGATAAATTAGTTCAGCCTCTGGCCTGAACTTGACATTGCCAGTCACTGAGCTAATACATTTTTATCCCTTTCTTTTAAAGAGGCATTGAAAGTTTTTATGAAATCAGCGGACCGTGATCATGCTTCAAATATATAACCATTGCATGAATTCTAAATCTGTCTGGACCAGAAAACTGTTTGATTGTGTGACCATTTCTAGGTAGAAACATTAGAGTAGCCTTCTAAGGATAGTTTTTGAAAATCTTTTAAAAAGGTTGGAGGTGACCCAGTATATGGCTACTCTCAAAAAAGATATATATATGTACATTTGTATATTATGTAATGTATTATGTATATATATATACATATATACAATATATTTTATGAAATATATAACACATAAAATATGTAATATAAAAATATATAAAATAAATACATGTATTTTTTTGAACCATAGAAATCTATCGAGAACAAAGCAGAAAGCTCCCTGTGTATAAAACTATATTCGAGAAAGACATACTAAAATTACTGAAAGGTAGCAAAAATAATTAACAAGGAGAAGGTGGTAACAAAGAGAGAGATACTGTACATCAAGAGATTAGAAAACAAGAACTTTTAGCCTATAAAAGAGAAGCTGAAAGGGGTTGTGACTAAAGGCTATAAAATCACTACACCCAGGCAAGAAGTCTACTCTTTGAATTTTGACCAAGGTAATATTAAGGCAAAAAAGTAAATAAAAAGAAACCATGTGTAATAAATCCCTATAAATTTTTATGTCATGAGTAGTAAAGGCAGAAAATATAAATAGATGTAAAAGCAGTTTGACCAAATATGAGTGAAGGATTAGTATGTGGTGGTTCAAAGAAACTTGTTGTGCCTGCCAAAATGTCCCTTCCTGTGGTCCATCCCTGGATGGCTGGCATGGATCTGCTTCCCCTGTGAGGCGGTTGGAGTCCCAGGTTTACTTTCTTAAACAGAGTTTGGGGTTAGATTTTTCTCTCTTAAGACTTTACCATCATTAATCATTTCCAGCTAACATCTCTCATCCCAGTCCTGTTCTGTGGGTTGGATTTCAGTTCCTAATTAATACTCTCCCTCAAGTATAAGCAGCCACTTTTGCTTTCTTTAGGAAACCAAAAAGCATTAAAAAAAAAAAAAAAAAAAGGCCGATAGAGTCATAAATAGTGTGTGATAGGCTGTCAGTTCTTTTTGAAATGACCTTTGTTTTTCTGAGGTAAGAAAGTGGGTAGTTTTTGGGTTTCAGAACTGAACTTCATATATTTAGTCCTATCTGGAAACCAGTGAAAGCACATGTCAGAGGCAGTAGTTGAGTACCTCTTTTGAATTTGAAGAAGTTCTAGTTTGCTGTCATAACAGAATTTCAGTAATACTTTGGCTGAGATCTACATAGATTTGGTCTGTCAGAATTGGTAGGATACTGTTGCAGTCTTCAGAATCTTAGGACTTTACTAGGCATGAAAGTAGAGACCCATTTCTACCTATGCTCTCATCCATTCATTCCTCTTTCTACATTTTAAAAATAAGTAATAGAATAGTTAAACTACAAATAGAAATAATCCTAACTGGATAACTGGATTTTGCCCCTCTTTTCCTCTGCCTTATCCATCTATTCCCTGAGACTTTTAAAATTGTGGACTATGAAGATGAGCTGGATTTGCTTTCTGTGGTAGCTGTTACCCAAATAGATGCTGAAGGAAAAGCTCACCTGGATTTCCACTGTAATGAATATGGAACTTTACTTAAAAGCATTCCACTAGTGGAGTCATGGGATGTGGTGAGTAGAGTCCATGGAATATGAAGTTGTAAGGATTTTCTTTGTAGGTGATATTTATGGAACAGATGTTACTGTGTTCAAGTTAGTCAAGGGTCACCTATACCAGTGACCACATCAAAGAGGATATCATCCTACAGGACAAAATGAGTACTTCTTAAGCCTTCCTTCCCTAGGAACTGGAGGATGCCTCCTTTCTAAAGGCCTTAAAGACGAAGTCTTTTTTTTTTTTTAAAGATTTATTTATTTATTTACTTGAAAGAGAGAGAGAGAGAGAGAGCACATGAGAGGGGGAGGGTCAGAGGGAGAAGCAGACCCCCCGCTGAGCAGGGAGCCCGATGCGGGACTCAATCCCGGGACTCCAGGATCATGACCTGAGCCGAAGGCAGTCGCTTAACCAACTGAGCCACCCAGGCGCCCATTAAAGATGAAGTCTTATGTTTTATTCTGAGACATGCTGTTTATTTCCTTACCATAGTCTTTGGTTTTCTCACATTTTATAAGTTTGGTAACATTTTTAAAAATAGAAATATACTGTATTGAATCCCCCTGGTTATTTAATAGAGATGTTATCTAAGCATTAGGGTTTCCAGGCACTCTCAGAAATATTTGTCTACTTTTTTGATTATTATAGAATATAAAAACTATAAGGAAGAGTAGCTGTTATTTTATCCAATCCTTTTGTTTTATCAGTGGAGTACCCAAGAGGTTTAGCAACTTGACCACTATTTCACACAGTGAAATAGCAGCATAGGCAATAGAATCTGAGTGTTCAGATTCCTACGACCAGGGTTTTTTTCATTTTCAACGTTTTGTGTAATGCTTTTCTTATAAGTAATCTGCATATTCGTAAGTAATGAAAATAAACTATTTCTAGCAATTGTTTTGCTTCCAAGTATATATTTGAAGATCCCTAGCGTAGGTGCTATGACATTTTAGTGACATAATTGTGAAGATGGTTGTGTGAAGAGGAGATTTCATCTGACTATGTTTTCATTACAGACATACAGCCATGAAGTCTACTTTGACAGAGACTTGGTACTACACATAGAACAGAAACCAAGCAGGGTCTTCAGCTGCTATGTTTACCAGATGGTATGTGACCCTGCCGATGAAGAAACAACAAACAGAAGTTGTGAAAAAGAGTGAGATAATTTTAAATTTTGAGATGTAACTTATAAGATTTTTAGCTACGTACCCCTGCAGCTATGTTCAGTCCTCCTTTTTGTTATCTGCATAGAAAGTTCTCCAGTATTTTCTAGAAAAAGGTCTTGTGTTGACTTCAGATGACTGTGACTTCTTTTTTAAATTCTTGCCATACAAGGGGTGGTAAGGACTTCATTTTACAAATTTTTTAGAATGACATCCCAAGAAGTCTAACATTTTAGAGCTTTTAGCTTGGTGGTGATGCAAATATAAAGTGTTGGGGAGCACAAAAGACAAGTTATTTTCAATTGTTGGGAGAGGGTTATTGATGGAGAAGTATTTAACATGGTTCTTAAAGGATGGTATGGAATTTTGATAGGTAAGACTAGGCAGGAGAGACAAAAAGAAAGACAGAGAAGATACAGAAAGAAATCCTCTATCCTCTATACCAAACTTTGCCTAAGGGTGAGAAAAGAGATCTGTAATGTGAACGAGTGTTTTTGAGCCACAAATGTGTCATAACATTTTTTTAAATCACATATGTGTATATATATGTTTTGTATTTATATATAGCATTAGGAATTGGCTCCTCTAGTTCCCAGATTATCTTTTCTTCCATGGTTTTATTTTCTTGGCTTGGTGTTCCCATTGATTATTTATGTTTCTATCATAGACTAATGTAAAAGATTCCAAGCAAACTTTAAGTGAAATTTTTTTCTGATATGTAGCCTGTTCAGCTCTAAATGCATTTAAGAATGTTGTATTCATTTCACCGTTCTATTTATTTGGTGAGTTTTCCAATTCTACTTAGGCAATATTTTCATACCTATGCAATAAGATAAAGGTATCCTGGATCCCACCAGTTCTGCTCCTTGTAGAAGAGTAGATAAAGCCTCAATTCCTACTGGCTTGGGAATTGACTGATTAGCTAGAATATAATTTGGCTCTATCTTAGTTGTGAAAGGAGTATTTTTTTTCTTCTTTGCTAGGACCAATCTAAATATAATCCTTGAACTCAGATAATCACTCTTCAGATTGTTAAATAAAAGCAACCTAAGGGAGAAAATTGTTTCTTTTTGCTTCCTGTCTGAGAAATCCAGTTGCTGCAATCCACATGTTCAGCACATTTCTCTGATTCAGCTTCAAAAGAATAGTAAAAATAGAAGGGGAGGAGACAGCAATAAAAATCATTGCTGATTCAAATTTAAGTTTAAAATATGGGATTCTAGCTTGGATAATTTACATTAAAATCATTCGGTTTTGGGGGGCACTTGGGTGGCTCAGTTGGTTAAGCATCCAGTTCTTGATCTCAGCTCAGGTCTTGATCTCAGGGTCATGAATTCAAGCCCCATGTTGGGCTCCATGCTGGGCATGGAGCCTACTTAAAAAAAAAAAAAAAATTTAAACTCCTTCAGTCTTTCCTTCAGTTTTGGCTTGATCCCATATTAAGAATGATGTGAATTCTATTCTTTTCTGCCCTTGAAGTTTGCAGATAAATTTCAAGCTTATGATCAACAGAAGCTGAGGAGAAAAGGTGTTAAACCTATTCCAGACATCAAGAAATTAGTAGCAGAGTCCATAAATTTAAAAGAAAGAAAGGGAGCAAACCTAAAACTATCTTTTGCGCAAAAGAAAAGAAGATCGCTAACGTTTTAGAATAAGGGAAAATATTTATATGTGGGCTAAAGATAAATCTTTCTGAATCTGATCCTAAGTGTAATAACCATTTGGGAAAGTAGAAGTGATTATTACCTCATGAGCAAGATAATAAAACTATCTTCATTTATTAAATTCTAATACTTTTATATCTACTAATTTAAAAATCCTTTCTTATTTTATGCATCTTTAATAGTACTATTTAATATAATATTTGAAGCTTTCAGAGCATTTTAGAGACATGATTGTGGTTACAGCAGTTGAATAGTCATGATGTGCTGGATATTGCCCCAAACTCCCAATTAGACACTAACTGTACCTAAACAGTCATACCCAGTGAATTTACATCTTGAAAAACAAGTCTGTTAAGAGGTAATAGATTAAAAACACCAGAGAAAAGAAAGAAACCAGTGTTGTATGGGTTTCAAAGCAGATGCAGTGTTATATAAAAGCAGAAAGCCTACTCTCCAAGAATGTTTCAGAAAAGGATGTCCTAAGACTTCAGTCATATCTGGTTTTTTATTTATTTTTTTTAATTTTTTTTTAAGATTTTATTTATTTGAGAGAGAGAGCATGAGAGAGAGAGAGCATGAGCAGCGGGGGAGAGGCAGGGGGAGAGGGAGAAGCAGACTCCCTGCTGAGCAGGGAGCCTGACATGGGACTCGATCCCAGGACCCTGGGATTGTGACCTGAGCTGAAGGCAGCCGCTTAACCGACTGAGCCACCCAGGCACTCCAGTCCTATCTGCTTTTTTTAAAAAAGAAGTTTATTGAGTTTCCCCTTCTTCTTTAAGTCATTATCTTCTTTTGATGAAATGATAGGAACTCATCTACTCAGAAAGGCATCTGAGAACTAGCTGAGATCCTTAGCTGCTTTTTAGGCTGGGGGCAGGTGTGAGTGGGTGGATAGAATACTAGTCTAGGTATGAACTGACCGCTGAGAAACTCCTAATGTTTCACCACTGCCAAAATCAAACTAGAGCAGGATCCACTGTGAATGAGCCAGGCAGGAAATGTACCTTAGTGTGAAAGACCATAGGGAGTTGTGGGCAGTATAATAAACAGAGGGGTTATGCCCCAACTAAAAGGACATGATGCTCCTACATAGTTTCAGCCAATTGTAACATTATGTGGGAATGTGGGCTACATGATTGTTAACAGGATGGTTGATAAAAAGATGCCAAAAGGTAGAAGATAGTAAAGAATGTGGGGAATTTATGGATAACATACATGGCAGGAGACAGTACAGAATGCTTCTTGAACAAGTATGGGCTTCCCAGCTTCCCACAGGGGCTTTGCAGCTGTTCATTCTGCCACCTGCCAGGCATGACACTGCCATTCTCTTGGGGTGGGGGGCAAGCGGCAGTTAATATCTTCCTGGCCCCACCTTAACCCCTACTGTCCGCCTGACTACTTTAGAGTCTTTAACTGTGTGCGCACCTACTTAACAAGCACTAGTGATAGGCACAAAACATTATGGGTAACATTTCTGAGTGTTTAATGCAAAACTGAGTGAAGAAGTATAGCTTCTTTCAGCAGGTCTAGATAATATACTGATAAGAAGTGTATTTCTGCATTTCACTACTTGTGATTCTGTATTCTCACAGTATCAGTGCAGCAAGGTTATCATTCTTTGACTTTCTAAAACATTTCTCAAACTTTGAGGGTTTTGAACTACCTAGTGAGGAGATGATGTTCTATTTAAACAAATTAAGGTTCTCCACATTCTTATACCAATTGAATGTTTTGTTTCTTGTATGTACTTTTTAAAAAAATGAGGATGACTTACATTCATTGAGTGCTTTCTATCTACCAATCACTGTGATACATGTAAAATGAGTTGGCTCACTCAACATTCGGAATAATCATATGAAGTACGAACTACCATTATCCTTCCACGTTTTGTAAATGAGGAAAGTGAGGCTTATAGAAGTTAATTTGCTCAAGGTCCTACAACTAGTAAGTGCAGAGGTAGGAAACATCCAGATTTGTTTGACGCACATGCCAGATTTCCTCCAAAGCTCTCAAAAAGCAAATGATGTTATTTTATGTCATATATAGCATATTGTTAATGGTAATACTGGGTATAGGAAAATGCTTAATAAGTGTTTTTTAAATGGTGATTGGATATCCAAATTTTGGACCAAGTTGAATGAGATACAATTGGCCTATTCACATATATAACCTGATATAAAAGACGATTCTTCTATTCAGTGGTTAAAATTAATTTTTTTTTTAAAGACGCAAAACATGGTACTCTCAGCCTGTTTGTGGGTGATAATAAACACCAGTATTAGTAATTACTCTGAAGGTAACTTGGCTTCCTTCTCAATAATTTGTATAAGTTTCGTACCTGTCTTACCTGGCTTATGTATGTCATCTGACTTTTAGAATTTCAGGGAAAATTCTGGGGCTAATTTCTGGTCCCTATGTTGCTATAGAACCTACCTCTATCTTACAGAAGGAATAATTTATTAGAGGCATAGGATGTATATTAGAAAGATAAGACCAGGGCGCCTGGGTGGCTCAAATGGTTAAGCGTCTGCCTTCGGCTCAGGTTATGATCCCAGGGTCCTGGGATCGAGTCCCGCATCAGGCTCCCTGCTCCTTGGGAGCCTGCTTCTCCCTCTGCTTCTCTCTCTCTCTCTCCCTCTGTCTCTCATGAATAAATAAATAAACTCTTTAAAAAAATAAAGTCCTAGCTTTAAAAAAAAAAAAAAAGAAAGAAAGACCAACGGAGGGCTTTTCTCCATTTTATTATGAAAATTTTCAAATGTACAGCAAAGTTGATGGAATTTTATAGTAGATACCCAATTACCAACTTCATGGATTCTAAATTTTACTCTATGTGTTTTATTACTCATGTCTCCATGTTACTTTTATGATGCAGACATCAGTATACTTCCCCCTAATACTTCAACATGTATAATGTTTAGTTTTTAAAATTTTTGATGTACACTTAAACATGCGATGAAATGCACAAGTGTTGAATATAAACTTGCTAAGTTTTTGCAAATGCATTCATCTGTGTAACCCAAACCCTTTTCGAAATTTGGACACAGCAATCATTCCAGAAAGTTTCCTCATGTTCCTTCCCGGTCAATCCCCACCCCACCTATCAAGTGTTATCTACTGTTCTGATTATTTTGCCTCACAGATTAAATCTGCCCATTCTAAAACTTTATATGAATGAAATCATACAAAGCATAATGCTTCCTTCAGTCAGTACGTGTCTGAGGTTAATTCATGTCGCATGTACCAGTGATTTATTCCTTTTTATTGCTGAGTAGTCTTTTGTATGAATGTGTCAGTCTGTTTTTTTCCATGTTCCTGTTGATGGACACCTGGGCTGTTTCTGCTTTTGCTTTTGCTTTTCTTTCTTTCTTTCTTTCTTTCTTTCTTTCTTTCTTTCTTTCTTTCTTTCTTTCTTTCTTTCTTTCTTTCTTTTTCTTTTTTTTGCTATTAGGAATAAAGTGTTCTGAATGTCTTTATACACTTTTTGTAAACATATGTCTTTATTCCTCTTCGGTAAACATCTAAGGATGGAATTGTTGGATTCTAGAGTAGTTGTATGTTTAGTTTAATAAGCAACTATCAAACCTTTTTTCCAAAGGATTGTACCATTTTACATGCCTGCGACAATGTGTGAAACTTCCAATTACTCCACATTTTCTCCAATGCTTGTGGTTGTTAGTCTTTTTTATCTTAGCATTTATGGTGGGTGTAAAAATCTTTCCTAGTTGTTACTTAGATTGTTTCTACTTGCCCCTAGCAGCCCTCTTGTCAGGTTACCCTCTTCATCTTTTTTAACTCCAGCCCCACCGGGAACTGCTGAAAACATTCTTTCTTTGTGATAATAATTAAGATAACTCAAAACACAGCCTGAATTATTCTTTCTCAAACATAGACTACATTGTCACCAAGGAACCTTGTTTCCTTTAGTGGAAACTAACAGAGAACAAACCTGAGTTGCTAATGGTACATATTAGACTGTTCCACATGACTATGGGAGCTGGACAGGATGACACCAGAGCACAGCCTCCATAAAACATTGTAATAAAAGCAGAAAATGACCTTTTCCTTTAAAGATTGGGAGTTCATGTTATTTGTAAATCAGATGAATTTTTTTTAAAGATTTATTTATTTGAGAGAGAGAGAGTGCATGCATGTGTGCAAGAGGGTGTTCGGGGGGAGGCGGGGCGGAGCAGAGGGTGAAAATCCTTAAGCAAACTCCACACTGAGCATGGAGACATGGGCTCAATCCCAGGACCCTGAGATCATGAGCTGAGCTGAAACCAAGAGCCAGATGCTTAACTGACTGAGCCACTTAGGTGCCCCAATCAGATGAATTTTTGCTACAATATGAAACCATATTAAACAGCTTGATCCTTTTCCCAATAACTATATTGGACCTCAGTGTGGTTTTAATTTATATTTCCTTATTAACTAATGATGTTAAGCACATTTGTGTGTGTTTATATACCATGTGTAAATTTTATTTGATTTTATTATTTTATTTTTTAGTTGTAAAAACTGTTCATCCTACAAAAAAATATGTGCTGTGTTTTGGGGGGGGTGGGGAACTATAGCACAGGTCTCCTCTAAACTAATAATGTGTAAATTTTAAATTTTCTTACTAGATTTTTTTGAGGTATAATGGACATAAAATAAACTTGCACATATTTAAATTGTACCATTTGATAAGTTTTGACATGTATACACCCATGAAACCATCACCACAATTAAGATATTAAACATATCCATCACCCCAAAACGTTTCCTCTTGGCTCTCTGTAATACCCCTTGCTTCTCTTTCCTGTCTTCCCAAAGCAGCCACTAATCTGTTTCTGTTGCTTTAGATTAGATTGCATTTTTTAGAATTTTATATAAATGGAGTCACACAGTAAGTACTCTTTTTTTATTTCTGGCTTCTTTCACTCAGTATAGTTATTTTGAGATCCATCTGTATTACATGTACCATAGTTCATTCCCTTTTATTGCTTAATAGTACTCCATTGTGTGGTTATAACCCACAATATGTTTATACATTTACCTGCTGCTGTACATTTGGGTAGTTTCTGATTTTTGGCTACTACAAACAAAGCTACTATGAACATGTGGTGCAAATTCTTTGTATGGACATATGCTTTATTTCTGTTGGAAAATACCAAGGAGGAAATGGCTGGATCATATGTTAAATATATACTTAAATTTTTTTTTTAAGATTTTATTTATTTATTTATTTATTTATTTGTGAGAGAGAGAGAGTGTGCAACGAGCGGGGGTAAGGTCAGGGGGAGAAGGAGAGGCAGAGAATCTGAAGCGGATTCCACGATTAGCACGGAGCCCAGCGCAGGGCTCGATCCCATGACCCATGTGATCATAACCTGAACCAAAACCAAAAGTCAGACACTTAACCAACTGAGCCACCCAGGTGCCCCTATGCTTAACTTTTTAAGAAGCTTCCAAACTGGGGCACCTGGGTGGCTCAGTCGTTAAGCATCTGCCTTCAGCTCAGGTCATGATCCCAGGGTCCTGGGATTGAGCCCTGCATTGGGCTCCCTGCTCTGCGGGGAGCCTGCTTCTCCTCCCACTCCCCATGTTTGTGTTCCCTCTCTTGCTGTGTCTCTCTCTGTCAAATGAATAAATAAATAAGAAGCTTCCAAACTGGTTTTTCAAAATGGCTGTGCCATTTTATTTTCTCATCATCCCATCATCAGTATATGAGAGTTCCAGGTGCTCCATATCCTTGCAAATACTTGTAATGGTAAGTGTTTTTAATTTTAGACATTTAGTTTAGGTCTTACATTTAGATCTATATTCTACTTTTTGTTTATTTTTGTATATGGTGCAAGATATGGTTCAAAGTTCTTTTTTTCTATATGGATATCCAATGCAGAGGGGATAGAATTCCGTCTTTCACCGTTAAGTATGATATTAACTGTAGGTTGTTCATAGATGCTCCTTATCAATTTGAAGTTCCCCACTATTACTAGTTTTCTGAGTTTTTTATTGGATTATACATGTTGGAGTCTGTCGAATAATCATTCCGCATCTTTTGAGATGATCATATGGTTTTTAGTCTGTTAATATGGTACGTTACATTGATTGACTTTTTTTTTTAAAGATTTTTATTTATTTATTGAGAGAGAGAATGATAGAGAGAGAGCATGAGAGGGAGGAGGGTCAGAGGGAGAAGCAGACTCCCTGCTGAGCAGGGAACCCGATGTGGGACTTGATCCTGGGACTCCGGGATCATGACCTGAGCCGAAGGCAGTCACTTAACCAACTGAGCCACCCAGGCGCCCTACATTGGTTGACTTTTGTGATGTTAAACCAATCTTGAATTCTTGGGATAAATCCACTTGATACCTCTAAATTTCTTTTTTTTTTTAAGATTTTATTTATTCACTTGACAGAGAGAAAGAGAGCACAATCAGGGGGAGCGGCAGGCAGAGGATGAGGGAGAAGCAGGCTCCCCACTGAGCAGGGATCCCAAAGCGGGACTCGATCCCAGGACCCCGGGATCATGACCTGAGCCGAAGGCAGTGGCTCAGTGACTGAGCCACTCAGGCGCCCTCATACCTCTAAATTTCTACTCATATTTTAAGTCAGACAGTTTCTGCATTTCCACTTTTTCACGTGTCATTTCCGCAATAATAAATTCATAAAATTTACCATTACGTTTGTACTCTGGTACACATTGATCCTTTCGAGATCATTACATTTAGATGACTTTCTTCCTTTACCAATAATTTCCAGACATTTCTGGACCCTTTGCCAAATATTTCATTCTCATATAAACAGAACTTAGCAAGTTAGGCCTTAGAACCTTGGAGAAGCTCTGGGCACGTTGCCAGCCTCTCTGTGTCTTCTCACAGACCAGAGAGTTCATGCGCTAAATAAAATTATATCTGCAATAGAAAAGTCAGTTTATACCTGCTGTGACCCCAGGGAATGCTTTGAACCCGTTTTAGTTCAATACACTTTGAAACCTTGGACTGCCGCGGAAGGGATGAGACTTAACAGTTAACTGAATTCGTAAAGATGACAACCAGTGGAATGAGTCATATGGAGGACACTCTACCTACTCAGGTAATATGCATCCATAAATTGATCTCTCAAATGAAATTTTCAAAAGAAAATGATTTATCAGTAAATTCTTTATCAAAGTTTTAAGGCTCAATTAAAGATTTTTAATTTTCTTTTAGGAGGGCCCAAGTAGACAATCATTTCTAAAGCCTGCTTTGAACACCATTTTTTCTTTGAAAAATCACAAACTCCAAGGGCACAGCTTTTCAAGCTTTATCTATAAGAGTAATAAGACTGGTTCAAGTATGTTAAAAGAAATAAAATTTAAAAGCCATTCTGAGGGTGCCTGGGTGGCTCAGATGGCTAAGCATCTGCCTTCGGCTCAGGTCGTGATTCCGGGGTCCTGGGATCGAGCCCCGCATCGGGCTCCCTGCTCCACAGGGAGCCTGCTTCTCCCTCTGCCTCTCTCCCTCTCTCTCCCATGCTCTCTCTCTCTCTTTCTATATATATATATCTCTGTTTCTCGAATGAATAAATAAAATCTTTAAAAAAAAGCCATTCTAACACTTAATTTTCCTATCTGTAATCTGTCTTTCTCTCTCCAGAGAACAGTCAGTGAGAGTTAAAGCATTTCCAGCTCCAACCTCTCCCACATCTAAAACCTCAGTTATTACACAATATCTGCTTGAAGATATGCTGACTGACACTGTATCGTTAACTTAAAAAGGTCCTTGAGATCACTACCACATCTTTTATTCTGTTTTTTTTATTTTTTTATTTTTTTATTTTTTATTTATTAACAAATAATATATTACTTGTTTCAGGGACTGTGATTCATCAGTCTTACACAATTCACAGCGCTCACCATAGTAATACCCTCCCCAGTGTCCATCACCCGGCCACCCCAATCCTCCCGCCCCCCACCACTCCAGCAACCCTTAGTTTGTTTCCTGAGATTAAGAGTCTCCTAAGGTTTGTCTCCCTCTCTGGTTTTGTCTTGTTTCATTTTTCCTTCCCTTCCCCTATGATCCTCTGTCTTGTTTCTCAAATTCCTCGTATCAGTGAGATCATATGATACTTGTCTTTCTCTGATTGACTTATTTCACTTAGCATAATACCCTCTAGTTCCATCCACATTGTTGCAAATGGCAGGATTTCATTTTTTTTTAAAGATTTTATTTATTCATGAGAGACAGAGAGAGAGGCAGAGGGAGAAGCAGACTTCCCAAGGAGCAGGGAGCCCGATGTGGGACCAAATCCCAGGACCCTGGGATCATGACCTGAGCCAAAGGCAGACACCCAACCATCTAAGCCACCCAGGTGCCCCAAGATTTCATTTTTTTTGATGGCTGCATAATATTCCATTGTATATCTATACCACATCTTCTTTATCCATTCATCTGTCGATGGACATCTAGGCTCTTTCCATAGTTTGGCTATTGTGGACGTTGCTGCTGTAAACATTGGGGTACGTGTGCCCCTTTGGATCCCTACATTTGTATCTTTGGGGTAAATACCCAGTAGTGCAATTGCTGGGTCATAGGGTGAGACCACTACCACATCTAATATAAAGTCCCAAACATCACTTTTCCACTTTTCCAGAGTTTGTCTTGGTTTCCCTCACCAGCTGGACTTGAGATCCAGTGGTTTCCATTTCAGCTTCTGCCAGAAAGTCTTGAAACTTAGACTTACGTTAGAGTCATCTTATCCTTTATCGTGCATATACAGACACTTTTTTTTTGTTTTATTTAAATTCAAATTAGCTAACATACAGTGTATTATTAATTTCGGGACAGAATTTAGTGATTCATCAGTTGCATAAACACCCAGTGCTCATTACATCAAATGCCCTCCCTAATGCCCATCACCCCGGTACCCCATCTCCCCAACCCCTCCCCTCGAGGGTGTGTCTGAGTTCTGGTCTGCTTTGTATCCGGGGAGTATGGCTTATGCCAGAAAGATGGCAAGAGGGCACTAATCAACAAACTCAAACCTAAAGAAAAAGGCCTTGGCCTTATATCAAGGATAGTTAAATGAATGTACCCTTCTATGTTTTAAGTTGGAATAAAATGTTTACAGATTATATGTATCTTTAGTACAATGGTTTACTTTTTAATTAACTTTAACTGTCCAACCTTCTTCAGTAACATCAGATAATAGAGTTTCTTTATTTTTTTAAAAAGATTAAGCCTTATGGATTTTTAAAAATAATTATTTGATTTTAAAAGTGGGGGGATATTGATTTTTTTATGGCAGCTTTATTGGCTGTAATTCACATACTGTAAAGTTCACCTTTTCAAAGTGTAGAATTCAGGGATTTTTTTTAGTATAGTCACAAAATTGTGCAGTCATCAGCACTATCAAATTTCTAGAATATTTTCATCATCCCAAAGAGCAACCCTGTGTACATTAATAGTCATTCCCATTTCCCTCCCCACCAACCCCTGGCAACCACTAATCTGTTCTATACATTTGCCTGTTTCTGTACATTTCATATAAATGGAATTATGCAAAATGTGGCCTGTTGTGTCTGGTTTCTTTCAGCACAATGTTTTCAAAATTTAATCCATGCTGTAGCATGTATCAGTATCTCATTCCTTTTTATAGCCAGGTAATATTCCATTGTGTAAATATAACACATTTTGCTTATTCGTCTGTTGATGGACATCAGGTTGATTCCAATTTTTAGCTATTATCAATAATGCTGCTATAAACATTTGTATACACATTTTTTTTAAAAGATTTTGTTTATGTATTTGACAGAGAGAGACAGCGAGAGAGGGAACACAAGCAGGGGGAATGGGAGAGGGAGAAGCAGGCTCTCCACTGAGCAGGGAGCCCGATGTGGGACCCAATCCTAGGACCCCGGGATCATGACTTGAGCCGAAGGCAGACGCTTAGTGACTGAGCCACCCAGGTGCCCCTGTATACACATTTTTGTATAGATACATGATTTCAATTCTAGGTAAATACCTAGGAGTGGAATTAGTGGATCACATGGTAGTTCTATGTTTAACTTTTTGAGGAACTGCCAAACTATTTTTCAGAGCAACTGTACCATGTTGTATTCCCAACAGCAGTGTGAGGTCCAGTTCCTCTACATCCTTGCCAACGTTTGTTATTTTCTATTATTTATTATAACAGTGCTAGTGGATATGAGGTGGTATTTCATTATAGTTTTGACTTTTATTTCCCTCATGACTAATGATGTTGAGCATCTTTTCATGTACTTATTGGCCATTTGTATAGAATGGAACCCATTCCCAGTAGGAGCTGGTGAGAGAAACAAGCACCAGCCCCTGGCCTCACTTAAACCTGGAGGAATAAGAATTCATCTATTCCTAAGAGGTAGTGTGAGAGAAACACAAAGATACTGCTTAAATACCGGTCCAGGCCCACTAACAGGGATTATCTCTTCCACAATTCTTAATGTTTCAGGTGGATGTGGTTTTCACATGCTCCTACAATGAGTGAATACACATTCCATGATCAAGTGAAATTAATACCTGTTATTTCATAAATATTGACAGCAAAATAGTGACTGTGTTATAAGCTTATATGGCTTTCTGAGCAATTATTAACTTTTTCTGTCTCAGAATCTTAGAATTTTGACAATGTGCTATGATAAATACCTCTTACCCATTTTGAACTTAATAGACTACACAGAAGTATCTAAGAATGCTTTTGAGTCATTACAAGGACAGGCCTGCTAACAACTACTAAAACATTTAGACAGTAACCTCTGTGACTATCTCTTGAGTTTGATCACTGAATTCATTAGATGCTCTATCTATAAAGAACAGCATTATTTTTTTTCGCCCCCCGCAAAGAACAGCATTATTAAGGTTGCTTTTAATGACATCAGAATAAAACAAGATGTGTTTTAATAACTGTTGATACCAGCTACAAGAAATGTATGTTATGCAAGGAAGTGCAGCTAGTAATAAAATATTCTTGTTAATGAAGACTATAATTACATACAGATTAATGAAATAAGACTATATTTATGTCTGCTAATGTTAATCTAAAATTCTGGTGAATCAGAAATTCTATATTTAGGTGAGTTCAGAAGTATATAGTCACTGACAGTATTTCTAATAAACAATGTCATTTGTGATATAGTACTACAGTTAGTGTGTTTTTACTACCTAGGACATGTACTCATCTTCGAAGTTTTGAAAAATATATTGGTGATTCAAGGAGAATCGACAGATTTATGAGGAGGGAAGGGAATTTACAAAGAGTTCTCTTTTTTTAGCAAAACATTCCAGACTTATGAGGAACAGGAAAATACCCTTAATGCGATAAGGACCCAAGGTGTTGGAAGCAGCTGGGAATGACCCATTTGGGATTGGATTGTGTCAGGGTATGACTGAGGACAGTACACCTGGGAATCACAGCTCAGTGGAGCTTCTCGTCCTCATGGTCTTTATCATAGATGGAACTTAATTTGAAATGGTTTTTTTACAGAGTCTTTGCCAGATTTGGATCTGCATTTTAAGAATGGGTTCTAGGTCTCTTCAAAGAACCAGTTACTGGGTGCCTGGGTCACTCAGTCGGGTAAGCATCTGCCTTCAGCTTGGGTCAGGATCCCGGGGTCCTGGGATGGAGCCCCGCATCTGGCTTCCTGCTCCATGGGGAGCCTGCTTCTCCCTCTCCCTCTACAGCTCCCTCTGCTTGTACTCTCTCTCTCTGTCAAATAAATAAAATCTTAAAAAAAAAAAAAAAGAAACAGTTATTATAGCCACTATGTCTCAGTGTCCCTTGGATATGCCATAACAGGGTACCTCACTGCTCCACCACAGGCACAAAATTAAAAATGTTTGAAGAGTGATCTCTCTCTCCCTCTTTTTGGGTCTGTTTCTGGGCTTTCTCTTTCTGATCTTTATATTTTACATTCAGAGCTACAGTCCACCTGGAATTGATATTTGTTTATATGTGAGATGGGAGCTCTCTTTTCTCCCCTTTTGTAAAAACATCCAATCAGTTCGGCACCATAAATTCCACCTTTATATTGACACCTTTGTCATAAATTATGTGTCTATCTATGGACTCTACTCTGTTCCATTGGTCTACTTGTCATTATTTTCACCAATAACATACTTTATTGGTTACTGTAGATTTATACTATATCTTAATATCCAGTTGAGTATATGCACACACATTTTTCTTCCTCAGGAGTGTCATGGTTATTCTTTACCCTTGATATATTCTGTGCCTTATACTCTAGAATCTACTTGTCAATTCCACAGAAATTAATTCACTGCAATTGTGATTGGGATTAAATTGACTATAAATAAAGTTAGGGAGAAATGACATCTTTACTTATTTTGAATCTTCTAATACATTGACCTAGTA